ATTTGAGATTTTATGTAAAAACATCCCCCCACACATCATATTAAGTACAAATTGATAGGTTTTGCGCCTATTAACAAATCAATTATGGCATATAAGCTTCCTTGAACCAATTTGGAACAATTTCTAAGACGGATTAAATGTCCCTTACGCGTTAATAGCGCGAAATTTATCGCGCGTTAATTGTCCCAAATTGGCCAAAATGGCAATCTTTAAACCCCCATAACTTTACGAAAAATGATCACAAATAAATTATCTTCTCAAATTCAAGCTCAGGACAACAATAGCTTTCGAATGATATAAAAAAATTCCGTCAAAAACTGCCAATTAAAAAGTCGAAATTTGTCTGAAGAAAAAAAAAACCCACCCCGAGCGCAAATATTCCCTTACTTTCGTATCGAAAGTCGGAACAAAAATCATTTGTCATGTCATTGATGATGGCACAATTAAATGTTTCTGAAGCAAGTTTAAAAACTTAATTGTTTCGTTTCCAGAGATTCAATTTCTATTATATTGCCGCAATTTCTTGTTTTGAAACAAAACAACATAAAATAGTCAGTATGATCAAAAACAAATTACGAAACCAGTGTATAAATTACCTTAAGTGATGCAGTCAATACTTTTCACCTAATTTAAAATGATAATTTTGCTCTAACAAATTCCAAATTCACCTCGTGTATGGTTTTTGGTGCGTGACTGAAAGTATTGAGAAAAAATATGTTGAAAAAAATCAAAACAACTACTTATGCGGGTTGTTTCATTGTATAAGTTGTAACAAAACAAGTAATATAATGTCGAAAGTTCTTTTTGGATCGTGTGGGATAACTGCTCAAAGATTAAAAAAACTGGGATAAAAACTTAAGATTTTTGAACAACAACCAACTGTGACAATTAAACTTTTCCATTATTTTTAAGATCAAGATACATTAAGTAGATACATAAGATACATAAGATATCAATTTGTAATTTTCGATGGCCTCTGCTAACCGTAAGATGCTTCCGAAAACTATTTTAATTTATTTCGGAACAAAATTCTTAGCAGTCCCACAAATGATTGTTTTGGATCTTCTCAAAATTGACCGAAACATTAGGATTATTTCTCACCGTTTGATAACCCGCATACTTAGGTTGTTTTGAAAACTTCGAATAAAGTAAGCAAATTTATAATCGTTATGAGTGTTTTTTTATTAAAACCAATTTCTGAAAAACGAATAGAGTGAATTTCGAACCAGGTGTCATCAAAATTCCAGGCGGGTCGAGTGTGCTATCCTCCATGCATTTTGGGAATTACAGAATTGTCCGGTAAATGTTTTGTAGATTTAATCTATAGAGCTGAAAGCGTAATATGGTATGTTATGCGACGCTTAAAACTGTTCCGAATTGAAATCAAGCAAGCTAATTGGCCATTTTTATTTCCTTATACGACTCAAGTTTCAGCCCTTAATACTTGATAAGGACAGTTTTTATCAAAAAACACTCTAAAAAAGTTATTGGAAGTGAAAAAACCAGAAAATTGAGGGTCTTGAATCTGGATTCAGAACATTCAGGATTTTTCCTCAAGCGCGTATCTGGAAATTTCTTGAGCGAAGGATAATTTTCCAAAAAATGGAAATTTTTGTCGACCTATTTTTACACCGTATTTTAAAAAAAGTCTTTAAAATTGAAGTCTTTAGGTCCTTTTTGAGAACTGATGATAAACAACGCACGCTTCCCTTTGAATGTTAAGGGTTGGTTAGCGAAAAAATGATACCAAAAAAGAGTAGCAAAGAGTACTAAAGTGGAGCCCTTTGGGTAGTCAGGGGGTTAAATCATTAAATGGGGCTTTGCCCCCCCCCCTAGATTCTGTACTACTTTGCCTGATATGCGAGCCTTGTTTAAATCTACGGTTGAATTTCTTTTTTTTTTGCTTTTTTGTTTCTTTTGAAAACACTTTCATGACCCAACAGACAAATGGTTTGCTCCAACACTAAATCGTTAGCAAAACTGCTCAGATCACGACGCAACCTTAAGTTTTCGAAATGCCATTGATTGTCTATTAAAACGTTTTTGGCTAAGGAGATGGTGAAATTGCGTCTAAATATACTTTAAATAAAAAGTTTAGCTTGCATTAAATCCATTTGAAATGATATTTGAGCCAGATTTACTAGCCGCTCACGCGTAATTTTGACAAAATTTAGCGCGTTAACGGTCTGAATTTGGCAATTTATAAAGCACAATTACCTGACAAATTTTTGGTGCCGTTGAAATATCATGTAGCTCAGAGCCAGGGGCGGATTTAGGGGGGCGGACGCTTTGGGGGGGGGGGGGGCAGCATCCTTTTGTACTATTTTGAGAAATGCATTTTTGGTGACGGACCCTAAAATTTTTTTAAAGGCGCCTTTGGCGCCAATATATACTAATTTCGAACCAGGTGTCATCAAAATTCCAGGCGGGTCGAGTGCGCTATCCTCCGTGCATTTTGGGAAATACAGAATTGTCCGTTAAATGTTTTGTAGATTTAATCTATAGAGCTGAAAGCGTAATATGGTATGTTATGCGACGCTTAAAACTGTTCCGAATTGAAATCAAGCAAGCTAATTGGCCATATTATTTCCTTATACGACTCAAGTTTCAGCCCTTAATCTTTGATAAGGACAGTCTTTATCAAAAAACACTCTAACCAAAAATTATTGGAAGGGAAAAAACCAGAAAATTGAGGGTCTTGAATCTGGATTCAGAACATTCAGGATTTTTCCTCAAGCGCGTATCTGGATAATTTTCCAAAAAATGGAAGTTTTTTGTCGACCTATTTTTACACCGTATTTTAAAAAAATCTTTAAAATTGAAGTCTTTAGGTCCTTTTTGAGAACTGATGACAAAACAACGCACGCTTCCCTTTGAATGTTAAGGGTTGGTTAGCCCTTTGGGTAGTCAGGGTGTTAAATCATTAAATGGGTCTTTGCCCCCCCCCCCTAGATTCTATACTACTTTGCCTGATATGCGAGCCTTATTTAAATCTACGGTTGAATTTCTTTTTTTTTTGCTTTTTTGTTTCTTTTGAAAACACTTTCATGACCCAACAGACAAATGGTTCGCTCCAACACTAAATTGTTAGCAAAACTGCTCAGATCACGACGCAACCTTAAGTTTTCGAAATGCCATTGATTGTCTATTAAAACGTTTTTGGCTAAGGAGATGGTGAAATTGCGTCTAAATATATTTTAAATAAAAAGTTTAGCTTGCATTAAACCCATTTGAAATGTTTTTTGAGCCAGATTTACTAGCCGCTCACGCGTAAATTTGACAAAATTTAGCGCGTTAACGGTCTGAATTTGGCAATTTTTAAAGCACAATTAGCTGACAAAATTTTGGTGCCGTTGAAATATCATTTAGCTCAGAGCCAGGGGCGGATTTAGGGGGCGCTGACGCTTTGGGGGGGGGGGGGCAGCCCCTTCTTTGTACTATTTTGGGATATCCATTTCTGGTGACCGACCATAAATTACTTCTAAAGGCGCCTTCGGCGCCAATATATACTAATTTTGAGGGGGGAGCGCGCGCCGAATTAACGCGATTTTTTGGTCAACATTTTCAAAAAAGAGCCTTTAAACGCCCTTTTTGGCCTGCTTTTTGAAAAATTTTGCCTGCAGCGCAGAATCTTTGGCTAAAACAGGGTCTTTGTAGTGCTTTGGGAGAGCTCGGAATATCAAATCGGCCTAAAAAAAGGTCGACAAAACTTTCGAACTTATTTTTGAAAATCCGCCCCCCTCGAGAAAATCCTAGACCAGCTCCTGCTCAAAGCATTAACACGAAAGTCAGAAAAAAGCTTGCAAACTCGTATAGATTGTTTTGCAGTTAACTTTTGTACACTGCTTTCCTACTGTTTGTTTTAATCACCCTTTTGCTTACCTGTAAAAAGAGTCATCGGACTAAAGTAAACTTTTAGCCATTTAGATTTCTAAAAAGGTATTCAAAAAAATTTCTGCTAGTGTCTAGAAAAACAAAGTTTTTTCGGCCAATTAAGGCAGCTTATTTCTGATAGTAAAACTATTTGACTAAGGTCACAATACATATACTCAGGGGCAGATCTAGGATTTTCTCGAGGGGGGGCGGATTTTCAAAATATTTTCGAAAATTTTGACGACCTTTTTTTTAGGTCGATCAGATTGATTTTCCGAGCTCTCCCAAAGCAGCAAAAAGACCCTGTTTTGGCCAAATTTTCTGCGCCAAACAGGTCAAAAAAGCCGTTTTTGTGCACTTTTTGAAAAATTTTGACAAAAAACGCGTTTTTTTGGCGCGCGTTCCCCCTCAAAATTAGTATATATTGGCGCCTAAGGCGCCTTTAGAAAAATTTTAGGGTCGGTCGGCCAAAAATGGATTTCTTAAAAAGTACCAAAGGGGGGAGGGACCCTTTGGGTTGGCAGGGGTTCGAATCCCTGAGGGGGGAGGGGGCGTCCAACCACCCCCCCGCCCCCTCCCCTCCCCTAAATCCGCCCCTGCATATACTAATACATAATACTATAATTTTGTTTAACTTTGTTTCAGCCTTTATTACCCAATTTTTGAAGCTGTTAAGACCCTACAAAAAAATTTGATAACTTCTTCTCGATTCTTTTTTTTTCAACATCTAATCTTGACCGATAACTTCATTCAAATAAAGTCGTAAGAAATGTAACGGTCATTTTATTTTCGAGGAATTTGTAAAAAAAAATGTAAGTCAATACAATTCCCATGAATGAGAATTGTTTGGCTTGGCCACCATTTTGCATTTTTCATATATGGATTTTCATGACAAGCACTTTCGGTGTGTGAAGTTCAATCCGGCGTTCTTAAAAAAATCAAAATATGTAGCATCAAATATAGAGTGTGGTCCTTACAATCTGCTTCCTTGTTCAAAAATCCTTGTATAAACCAGTTTGAACTTGTGGGTTATGGTTATGTTTATTAAGACTTTTCACATTCTATTTTGCCGGCTATGTATTCTGTTATAAAATTAATTGATTTTGACTTCCATGTATACACTTTAGCAAGACACGATGGAAAGCTCTGACACTCATTCGGGCGAAGGAGAGGTGGACAACAACATGGCTTCAATGACAGATGCCTGTCAAATCATCGACTCTCTGCATATAGGTGGGTGTAGCTGAGATCCATGACTTTCATGTGGTTGAAGACAGAGGAATCTCAAATATTTCAGTTGACACCGACAACAGAAAGGACTTAGAGCGTTTTAGCTACAATTAATAAAAATGCGAAAAAAGTTTCAAGCCCGTTTTTAACAATTTTTTGTGGAAAAATATCCAAAAGAGGAAATTTTGTTCAACCTGAGATCAAGTATTGAAATAACTGATGTTTTTTTTTCTGTTCACGTGATCCAAAAGTTGATGTTTTGCTTTTGAATGATTCAATAAAATGGGATGACAGTAGTCAAAACCGAGTAAAATTTAATTTTAATGGCGTTTTTTTTCTGTTGTTGAGCCATTGTCCGTAAGATAACCGAAAGTAATAAATCATAAGAATAATTAAAACACATATTCTATTAGGTCGTTTTGGTCCGCAAGAGATATGACGAACATTTTCCATTTTTTTGGCTTGGATGTTTTGCATCTCCGAAAAAAAAAATCAAGGACTATTGATCATGGTGGGCCTTGAGCCACAGATCATTCGACTGAGAGGTAGACCTCAAGCACTAAATAAAATTACCTTAACCGCTTGGCCAAGCAACCATCTACAGCTATTTAGTCTGAAACTTTCGTGTAGGTCTTAAGATTCCCCCCAACATGCAGCCTCCGGTGGAACTGCACCACTTCTCCATCGCCTACTTGCCAGTGAGTGACCAGTCCTATGAGAACCCAGCCTCTATCATGATCGCACTTGCAGAACTCAACAAGGAAATAGAGGTCAGTACAATCGAGTGTAATAAAATTGAATACTCAAAAAAAATTGAGAATGGCAAGGTTATAAAAAGACAGACGGAACTAATTAAAAAGGGCAAACCAACGACTAGCTTCTGAAAGTATTTGCAAACAAACCTTTGTAAAATTTTTTTATTATTATCTAAAATTTAGTAAGGTAAAAAATTTATTAAGCGCTTCCGTGGAAGCAAAAAGGTTGTAAAAAATTAAAAATTGATCTGCATTTTACAAAAAAAAATTTATTGTGGAATGTTTTTCGATTTTTTGTTGCTTTTTTATTCATTTTACGAAGACAACTATTGTCAACTATGCATAAATTACTCTTGTTCTAAATGTCTGCTCAATATCGGCTACAATAGTTGATTTCTGACATTAAAACTCCGTAAAAGAGGATGGTTCAACAATGGGATGTGTTACTGAAAGTATAAGTTGCCCGGGTTTTCAGATAGTTTTTAATTATCTGAATAGATGTGTTTGCGCCACGTTTTCATGACAATTCTTGGATTTTGTAGATTCAAATTTTGCTTGCAAATTCAAATTTGTAGGTTTTTTTCTCGAATCTTCATTTATCTTTCTGTTATTTTCTGTGGTAGTTTTCTTATAGCTGCATTTGTTTGATTTCGTGACTTAAACTAAAATTGCGATAATTGGACAATTACCGCGCAATTCAGTTTGTCATATTGAAGCGTCAGTGTCAAAATAACTCATTGAAAACTGAAGCAAGACTGCTCGTATCAGGGCTAAGCCCTGAATGTTCCGACTGCCTTTCTAGGTCTATGGAGCGGTAATAAAATTAAAAAAACTAAATAAAATAAAAATTAAATGAAAATTAAAAAAACTCAACTTTTTGTGAAAATTATCCCCCCCCCCCCACTCGCCATATAAAGTACAAAGTGATAAATTTTCTTCTTACTAACAAATCAATTATGGCAAAAAGGCTTCCTTCAACCAATTTGGAACGGTTTCTAAGACGGATTAAATTTCCGCTTACGCGTTAATAGCGCGGAACATATCGTGCGTTAATTATTCCAAATTGGCCGAAATGGCAATCTTTTAACCCCCATAACATTACGAAAAATCATCACTGGTGAAATAACTTTTCAAATTTAAGCTCAGGACAACAATATTTTTCGAACGAAAGAAAAAATTTCCCCAAAAATGGCTAGTAAACAGTTGAAAGTTCGTCTGAAGAAAAAAAAACCACCCCGAGCACTAATATTCCGTTACTTTCGTTACGAAAGTCGAACAATGAGGCAGGTAACTTGATCGTATTATTATGTTATATGACGCAAAAGTTTTTTTTCAGTGTTTTGCATGGCGTGTAGGGAAAAGTAAAAAACAAATTTTTTTTAGAAGCAATTTTAGACGTTTTTCAATCACAAAATTGAAAATCACCATTGAAGGGCAGTCGAAACATTCAGAGTATTGTTCTGATTTGTTAAACTTGCTATCATTTCTGGCCTTCAAATGAGATTTTGAATGGTCATGATTGGATAAACTTACACTCAGAATCCGTACTCAGAAATGACAAAAAAAGTCAAATACATGTTAAAAAAACAAATAGCACAGATTGTTCCGACCATGGTTTTTTTTTTAGAAAACTACGGCTTAGAAATTTTTCCAATTAGTGTAGTTTTTTCTAGTTGGTGTGATAAAAAATCTGACGTAAAAATATAATTTAGACATTTTAGACAGTCATGATAATATAGGCAAATTGGACAAAACATTTTTGAAGAAAAATGACAAGAAAACTAAAAAAAACATTAAAATGTTTTTTCCAAATTTTTTGCAGAAAAAAACTTGATTTTTTTGAAAATTTTGGTTCCGAAAATGAAGCTAGAAAACTCCAAAAACTAGTTTTGCTTGCTTTAAATTAAGTTTTAGGGTCTTAAATTAGGCAGATTATTAGGTTTCAGCTGTTGTAAGCTTGCTCGCCTGCTTTATTCGCACGAATTAAGACAAAAAAATCAAAATTTTCAAACCGGTTTTTTCTCGACACTAAAAAAAATGTCAGGATTTTTTAAATGTGGTTGCAATCACGACTGAAAGGCCTCAATTTGATATATCAAATAACCAAGTCCATTGATTATTTGTGGTACCTGGTTTTGCGTGGAAAACAAAAGAAAAAAAACTAAAATACACCCGAGTACAAAGTTCCTCCACATTTTCGTTTATCAAACGCTACTCGACCAAAATTATAAAAAAAACAACAAAAATGCCGAAACACATAACGCTAATGCTCTAGCGTAATCAGAAAATAATCATTTTTATTTCAAAGAGCAATTATCTCAACAGAATATTTCAAGCTTCATGTTAACGGTAACAACGCTCTCAGAGTACATTTGCAAAAAAATTGCATTTTTTGAAAGCTGAGAAACTGTATACCTATATATTTAGACAATCGGTCGTATCAGATATGTTTTAGAAAACAAAGGATATCCCACCTAATTTAGTGTTTGGATCAACTACTATGACAAAATCCTTGCTGGTTCTGTAATTTCCAAAACAGATGATTTCAGATATTGCAAATTGACGACATTTTCGAGCTTACTTTTAGATAAATACAAACGAACGGGTAAAGGTGTCGTGTTCATGTTCATCATGTTCAAAAGTATAGGTGTCGTCTTCAAGAGTCTTTGAGATAAACGCAAACAAGCTAGTAAAAGTGTCGTGATTATGTTCATCATGTTCAAAATTAAAGATGTTATGTTCAAAAAACTTTGAAATAAACCCAAACCAGTCAGTAACGGTGTCGTGTTGATGTTCATCGTGTTCAAAAATCTTTGAGCTAAACACAAACTTTCGATTAAAAAATTCGTGTTCATGGTCATCGTGGTCAAAAGTAAAGGTGTCGTGTCCAAAAGTCTTTGAGATAATTTAATCGAGCGAGTAAAAGTGTAGTGGTCATGTTCATCGTGTTCAAAAGTAAAATTGTCGTTTCAAAAGTCTTTGAGATAAACACAAACGAGCCAGTATAGGTGTGTTCGTGTTCATCGTGTTCAAAAGTATAGATGCCGTGTTCAAAAGTCTTCGAAACAAACACGAGCGAACGAGTAAAAGTGTCGTGTTCGTGTTCATCATGTTCAAAAATTTTTGAAAAAAATACAAGTAAGAGTGTCAGAGTGTCAAATAAAGAGCGAGTAAGAGTGTCATGTTAATGTTTATTGTGTTCAAATGTAAAGGTGTCGTGTTCAAAAGTCTTTGAGATCAACACAAACGAGCAAAAAAAGTGTCGTGTTCATGTTTATCGTGTTCAAAAACTAAGGTGTTTTCTTACAAAGTCTTTGAAATAAACACAAACAAGCGAGTTAAGGTGTCGTGTTCATGCTCGTGTCAAGTTCATCTTCGCACTCTAAAACTATAGTTTAAGTTCTTCTCATCAATGCAAAGTGTTCAGAAACTTCCTAAACTCAAATTGCAAAGAATGGTCCGGTTTGATTGTGTTTTAAGTTATAAATGTACAAAAATGTTACCATAAGCAGCGACATTTATTATGCCATGTGTTTTTTGTCATGTGATTTTTTTCAAAAATTCCTAAAAGCAACCCGGGCCGAAGTTTCCACTTTATGTTTTGACCAACACAAGCGAAACACATGTTCGAACGGAACGACCAAAAATATCGATATTTCGACCAAGTCGACCAAGCGAGTTATGTTTTGACCAATACGACATAAAATATCAATGTTTCGACCAAGTTCGACCAAGTTTGACCAAGTAAGATGTGTTTTGACCGGCACGACCAAAAACTTTTATGTTTCGACCAAGTTCGACTGAATCATATGTTTCGAGCAAGTTCGACCGAGGAAAAACGTTTCGACCGAGTAAGACCCTGTTCGAGACCCCAGACTCATGCTCGTGTCGTGTTCATCTTCGCACTCCAAAACTATAGTTTAAGTTTTGCAACAAATTTTTGGCCTGTGCAAACCTTCGCGACCAAATTTAGGCATGTCCAGACTTTCGCGACCGCAACTTGGCTTTCCAAACTTAAGCGACCACGATTATCCGTCGCGACTTTCGCGACCGAAACGGAGACGGCGCGACCAAAATATCGGGACCCATTTTTGGTATGTTCAGACTTTCACGACCAAGATTTTCGAGGCGGAGACGGCGCGACTCCTCGGGTTGAGATGTTAGACTTATTATTCGACCGGCTCGAACAAAAAAGCTATGTTTCGCTCGACTCGAACCAAACTAGCTATATTTCGACTGAAGGTAAAAATTCAGTACTTGTATTCTGTTTTTGAATCTATTGTATTAGTCAGGCTGTACACCTCCATAGCCAGGTTTTGATTTCTTTGTTTATTTTATGTGATCAAACAAGGCTTTTTAAAGTAATTATAGAGCATAGTCGCTCCTAAATTAGCATAATTCTCGTTCATTTAGATTTTAAAAAAAACAGCTAAAAAGATTTTATAAAAAATAGGATTCTTTTCTGCGGCTAAAACTTAAAAGTCGACATCCAAACTTTTGTTTCGAGTACATTCTTGCTAATTAATCTAAACTCAATGTAAAGGTATTTTTATGAAAAAGCGTTGTGGATTCAAACTTCTTGAAATGAGCATTTTTGCTATACATGTTTCTACATTTTGATTTACTCCATCATATGAGACTTTTCTATAGATCGTACAAAAGATCATCTTTATGTTCCGACCCCCCAGTTCGACTTTATGTTTTGACCCAGTTCGACTGTATGTTTCGATTCAGTTCGACTAAAGGCACAGTTCGATGCAGTTCGCACAGTTCGACTAAAAGCGCTGCGCGACTATGGATTTTTTGTTGCACAATGACATCTGGTTCGACCACTTCGGTCAAAACATAAAGTCAAAAACTCGGCCCGGGGATCCGTATTTGAAGAAACTGTTTTCCCGATTTTTTTTACCATTCAGTAGACTTTGAAAATGAGGATTTTCGTAGAAAAAATATGTGCGACGTACGAGTAATCAATTTCTACACAAACCATATATAAATGTATGTGATTGCGCAGTACATTCTATGGTGGACAACCTCGAGAGCCTCTACTTGCCAGAGTCGCACGAAGTTGAGATAATTTTTTTTGATGCTTATTTTTTTTACTGTCAGAGTGCAATTGTTTATTTCGGCTATTCAAATGCTCGTAAATGTGACACGCCATCACCAAAAAGACCCCAGAAAAGAGCATCATTTCAAAAGAGCAGCATTGAAGGAAGTTGCGCTTATATCTAGTTAGCACATTTTATAAATTTATTCTGGTTTAGATTCAGAAGAAGGTGGTTCAATATCTGGACGAGGCACAGGAACATGCTAAGAATCTGTACACGTGGAGATCTCTGATGCGACTGTTTGTCATGGGAAGACCAACTCTGTCGGAACGAACGGATGAAAACAAGGTAAAACTTTTTAATGATTTCAACAATCAGTAACTGTAATTGCATTTGAGCATGCCAGAATTTTCGTTTTGATTTTGACGTTTTTCAAAAATAAATAAAAAACCTTAAAATGTCAATAAATCCAGGCGGCTGTTAAAAACTTGAACTTTAAAAAGAATATAAAAATTAACGGAAAATTTTTTTTTCAAACTCCCATGTTCCGTGTTGTTTTTTTGTTAAAAAAAGATGAGAATGTTTCTACAGGCTGCTCTAAGCGAGTGTCTGAAAGTAATGGAACCTGAAATCCGGAAGGCCTTCCAGCTGTACAAGTACCACAAGGAGGCATCCAAGTTCCTGGCTGGCGAGATCCACAAGTTTTCTCAGAGTCTCATCAAAGGGGACGACAAAGGTCCCGGGGTGAGTTACGCAGAAATTGGGAACACGAATTTCGGCCCTTGAGTAACCCTGAAAAAAGCCAAAACCTCAAAATTTAAAAAAAAATTTCAGAAATTTGGAAAATTGAGCTGAATGATTAAAAACATATTTTTACCGGAGCAAACAAGAAATTTCAAAAATTTTCTACGTTTGTTATTATAGATCGTAGCTTTTATTATATGTCTAGAGCTCGTCAATGAATCCGGTAAAGTGACACTCAAGGATACTTCGACAGAGAGCACTATTGCTTCCAAACTGAGAGATATCTTTGACAACCCTCCCTCCCATCCCCCTGCCCCCTTATTTTCGCCTGAGATATCCTTGTTACAAGTATCGAACCCAACACGAAACAGATAATTAAAATTTTACACAAAAACGACTCATTTTTCATTGTATACAACCCTTTTCCTTTCCCGGACAGATAAAGGTAATATTATATCGCCAAAGCAGTGATTTTGAATATTAGGGGGTCCAGGTTTTCCATGAGAGGTTTATATAGTCTGAAAGAACCGATTATGTAATCTAGTTACTGCTTTACAGGATTGCTATAAGAAAGGGAAAGGGCCGTTGGCATGCGCAATAGTTTTCTGAAGTAGGGTTTGGGGTTGATTTTCCGATAGGGGGATGGTTGGTGGGGTTGTTGAAGCGATCCATTTAAACTGATATTTTGCTTTGTGTAACGTATTTTGTGTAACGGTAAAAAATTGTTGATGATAGAACACATAACGGTGGTTTGAATGATGAAAATGTGAGCAGATGTGCTGAAGTAATTGTGGATTTAAATAGTAGCGGATTCAGGGGATTCGACCCCCTGGCAGCCCAGAGGAACTCTTTTTTGGTACTATGTTCAGACATCCAAATTTGGATGACCGACCATAAAATTTTTCTAAAGGCGCCTTCGGCGTCAATCGTGACGTCAATCGTACCTAGTCGTGTACCTTTCGCAAATGCAAATTTGGTGTTTTTGGATCTGAAACGTTGAATCCCACGAAACCACACCCCTTTTTTTTGTTTTTGGCTGCGGATTCCCTGCAGCAAAATTGGTCAAAATAGGATCTTTGTAGTGATGTGGGATAGCTCGAAAAATCAATTTTGTATTCCTAAAAAAACATGGGTCGTCAAAATTTTCATTTTTTTAAAAATCCGGCCCTTCCCCTCGAGAAAACCCTAGATCCATATTTGGATTCAAATCTAGAAATTATAATTAAACTCATTAGTGAACTTTAAGGAGCAGAGAAGCTAATCGAACTAAAGTGTAAGGCACTCGTTTTTTTCTTGCATCCAGATTTTTAGATTTCTGTCTGTAATTTCTCAACGAACAACATAGACATTTGAAAAATTTTAAAGTTTTAAGCAGGTGAGTTGATATCTGCACTTATCCTACGTACTTACCTAGTTTTCTTTGATAAGTTTTTTTCATGGGAGTTTTTGAGACCACCGACAATCAAAGCTTACTTTCGTGCAGGTGTTTGGAAGCATTTCAGAATTCTAGAGTGTTTTGGACACTTTTTGGTCGACAAACTGAACATTTGGTTTATAAGTTTTTGGATGATTGTGAGTTGTTTTTTGACGCTTTTAAGTTGCGGCTTACTGAAAGTTATCATTGAACTGTTGTCGCTGTAGTTGTTTTTCCATTACAAAGCCAAACTGTGTATTCTGTGGAATGCAAGAGGATTTCCCAACAGGCCGAAAATATATTTTACGGGGAACAGTGCTAGTTTCTGAAAAATCTTTTTCGCTGTTTTGGATGATTTCACGAACAAATAGCTAAAACACTGCATAGCTCAGGTTCGCTCCAAAAACAGTTGAATTTGCAGTATCCGCAACATAATTTGCGGAATCCGGAACAGTTTGCGGAATCCGGAACAGTTTGTGGAACCCAGAAAGAAACAATAATATGTGTATAGTAAAATTATGCTGTCGCGGAATCCGCAATTGTAAGCGGAATCCGCAAAGTTTAAACGGAATCCGCAAATTGTAAGCAAATCCGCAAAATGTAAGCGGAATCCGCAAAATGTAAGCGTAATCCGCAAAATGTAAGTGCAATCCGCTTACATTTGTGGAATCCGCTTACATTTGCGGAATCCAGAACAACTAGCTATATTTGCTCGTTGCAGATTCCGCAACAAAACTAGTGTGCCGTCAAAATTTCGTCACACATTTTTGAGCGCGGAATCCACTGAAACTTTGTGAATTGTCTGTGGATTCCAGTGACTTCTATATACCCAATTGTGCGCCTATCCAGTGCACCTTTTGGCCTCGTAATGTCTTAATGTGCTTATTTTATTATAGATTAAATATAATATAACACTTGCTCTGATATATTGATAAAAAATAATCGAACCCTTTAACTTATTCTAGAACAATCGAAACTTCTACTCAGAGACGTGTCTTGTCACCATGGGCAAGATGATTGGCTCGTTTGTGGCCCTGGACAACCTCATCTGTTTCAATGCTGCTTTCAGAAATGACTTTGCAGAATACAACAGGACACTGATCAAGGCAAAGAATGCAGGAGTAGCGCCGGTAAAAAGTTCTTCAAATATGCCTTTCAACTACTTAAACTTGTTTGAATTGATTTGATGGAAAAATGCTCATCGTAAACAAAATTGTCGATAAAAATTTTATGAATCATTCAAGAACCTGCTTCAGCTAAAGTTAAAATACATTAACACGTTTTTTTTTGCTGTTTGAGGCCACTTTTAAGTCCAAAAAATGTTGCATGCAAATTTGGATTTTTTTGATAACTTAGTTGAGACACAAACTTTCACACAAAAAAATCAAAGACCTCCATGCGTGTTTTGCGAAAACCCACAATTTTTATTTTAATTTTTGTTTAATTCTATTTATTTTAGTTTGTTGGATAAAATTGAGACTGTTAAAAACCAGGACAAGATTTTTAAACACTGAATTTTCACTGAATTAAAATAGATCAGTCGAAAAACCAGCACTGGGTTTTAAACAGTTGAGTTTTCTACCCAAACACAAAAGTTTTTCGACTTTATTCATGTGCGCTCAATTATTTTTCGTAACGAAAACAATTTTCAGCAAGACTGCTGGTATCAGGGCAAAGCCCTAAATGTTTCCACTGCCTTTTAATGTCTATGGAGGAGTAATAACAAGAAAAAATTCTATGTAATAAGATAGAACAAAGTTTTTTAAATATATATTTGATATTTTTGTGCATTTCACCTCCCCTCATGCCATATAAAGTACAAAGTGACACATTTCGCTCCTAGTAACAAATCAATTTTGGCAAATAAGCTTCCTTCAACCTATTTGTAACAATTTCTAAGACGGTCTAAGCCTCCGCTCACGCGTTAATTGCGCAATATATATCGCGCGTTAATTGTACCAAATTGGCAAAATGACATTCTTTAAACCCCCATAACATTACAAAAAGGATCACAGGTGAAATATCTTTTCAAATTTAATCTCAGGACAACGATACTTTTTGAATGATATAAAAAAATTTCCGTCAAAATGGCTAATTAAAATGTTGAAACTTGTTTCAAAATTAAAAAACTAGTTAAACGTTGTCATAATGCAATGAAACTCGGCATGGTGAGGAAATTAACAATTGTGAACAGATTTGCTCTCTATAATTCTCATCGTAAAATCAATATCTTAGCCAAATTAACACGTTAGACTAATATAACAAAGTAACTTTGAAAGGTGGAGGGGAAAAAATAGCCCAGTTTTTATCAAAAATTTAATCGATTATCAAAGAAAATTAGAAAAATCTGTAATTTTTTTCAAAACTTTTGCAAATTTTTTTCTGGTTTGCTAAGTAATTTTTCGTTTTTAAAAACACGCCAAAAGAAACTGCCGAAATTAATGTACCTTAAAAATTTCGTTTTTATGTATTATTTGCATATTGTAAGCCAGCTCGCCCTTCTTTATTTGGAAATTAGATAAAAAATCAAAAACTTTGAGTTTTTCTCTGCACTGCAATTTTTTGGAATTTTCTTAAATTGGATTCGAATCACAACTGTAATTTCACAAAAAAAATTTACATGGCGAAGTCCAAGCGCTGTTCATTCGAAAGATTTTTACCAATTAGGCCATCAAAACTCTGGTAAAACAACAAAAAAAATAAAACACAAAAATACGAAAACAAAATATATTTTTTTGGTGTGAAGAAAAACTTTTTATCAAAAAATTCTATCGCAAAGAAAATTGTTTTTCACACAATTTTATAAAATAGAAAAAAAGCTTGCCATTTTCATGCATGCGTTTCTTCCAATGAACCGTATGGAAGTATTTTGCCAGGACTGACGTGCTCGACTCATGATTTTATTTGTGTGCGCTCAAATCGGCTTCGCTAACAAAAACATTTTAAAAAACAGTTTCATTTGATTTTTTTGATAACTCGAATTAATCGTAAATTCGGCTTTTTAGAAATTGGAAGTGATTAGTAAGTGTCCTGTTTCTATACTAAACTTCAAATTTATTTGACAGCAAGGAATAAACAACTTCATTACGTGACCGCAAAGTCATTACGTGACCGTAAAGTGATGGGGGTTTAAAGAGTGCCATTTTGGCCAATTAGGGACAATAAATGCGCGATATACTTCGCGCTATTAACGAGTAATCGGAGATTTAACCCGTCTTAGAAGTCGTTCGAAATTGGTTAAAAGAAGCTTATTTGCCGTAATTGGTTTGTTACAAGTAGCGAAATAAATTCTTTTGTACTATATGGTGTGTGGGAGAATGATTTTCATTCAGAAAATTCAAACTTTGGAAAAAAAATTTTTCATTCGGCTGTATTACATTTAATTTTCTTATGTTGTTACTGCTCCATAAATCTTAGAAGGCAGTCTGGACAATTAGTGCTTTGCCCTGGTACGAGCAGTCTTGCTTAAAATTGTTTTCGTTACGAAGAATAATTGAGCGCATTTGAATAAAGTCGAAAAACTTTTGTGTTTGGTTAGAAAACTCAACTGTTTAAAATCCAGTGCTAGTTTTTTGGCTGATCTGTACTAATTCGATGAAAATTCAGTGTTAAAAGATCTTGTCCTGGTTTTTTACAGATTCATTTTTATCCAACAAACTGAAATAAATAGAATTTAACAAAAATTGAATTTCATTTTTTTATTACTTTTTTTTTCATTTTATTACTGCTCCATAGATTTTAAAATGCAGTCGGAGCTTTCAGGGCTCCACTATTTTCTGTCCTCGGTGATTTGATATGCCTCAGGAATTTGAACTTAAGAGGATTGTACAAAGAATTAATGTCTTTTTGAACTAATGTAGCCCACGATGTTTTTTGTCAACCCTGTGGGTTTTTAGTGGGTCTTTGTGTCAACACTAACGACGTGTTCGAACCAGGCTTGACGTCTACGCTTGATACGGGTACTCCAGGGTTCTAGTTTGGTTGTTTGTAGAAGTTTTTGTTCGTGATGATGTTAGGATAAAAGATACCTATGATTTTACGTCGAAAGCGTCTTTGTATGATATCAACGACGCCTGTCAGCTTTTTGGTTAGCGTCCAGAATTCACACTTATCAAGGAAAACACTAGAAATCAAGGCGTTGAAGACTCAATTTGGTATTCACCGAGGTTTTTGTTAATGTTGAAAATACCTTCGCCTCTCACAAAAGGTACGTTGTTTGCGTCGAATATCTGATTCCGTGTCAAATAAAGTACCAAGGAAATTGCAATTCTTCCAGTCGTTGGTGCTCCCTGAAATGTGGAATTTTCCGATTTCGAATTATTGATAAGCAGACTGTGTTTAGCGAGCCTTGTAGTTGCAAGAGTCATGATGCGGTCAAGTTTGTCTTTTAATCGGTTAATTCAGCTGACTGTTTTCGACCAATTTCTTTAAAAGGAGATTTTCTGTAGTAGATACCATAAGGGGGATTGTTTAGCAGATCTGTAAGGTTTTCTAAAACAAGCTCGTCTTATAACATCTTAACAGAATTGTAAAAGATTTAAAAAAATAAACACTCGTTAATGAATTAAAAAGCTGCACGGATTTTCTCAGCGATTGCTCATGTTGAAAGAATTTGTAGAAAAACATAAGATTTTGAATAATCTTGAAAGATTTTGTAAGAAGTAATATTATATTGTAAGTTCTTACAAGATAACTCTTCCTCAGAAATTAAGTCTTCAAAATTCATGAAACCTTCCTAAATTGAAGTTTGATGTGCAAGAGAAAGCGATTTATCAATCCTTTTAAAAAACGTTAATTTTTAAATTGTTTTTTCTTTGTTTATCATTAGTTTTGTTTATGTTCCCAGACGGAGAACCAAGTTTCTATGCCCATAAATAAAAAAGTTGCACGTCTGAATGTGGAGAAATGTTCAGTTGTATATCATTTAAATAAATTAGCAACCAAATCCGTGAAGAAATTAAGGCCCATGTGAACAATCTTCCCCCTCAATAGACCAAGTGAACAATCTTGTTCCCTGGGGAGATTGTTCACTTGGTCCGAAATTAACTTTGATGTTGAAAATAGCTGAACTTCAATTCGATTTTCTGGCTAATTGTGGTCTGTTTAGAACAATGTTGAAGAGGACCAGAAACTGGGAGAAATGAAGATGTTCTTTGCCCAGAAGACACCCCTGCAGGATTCACTTTTCAAGTTCCTGCAGGAGTCCGACCAAATGAACACAGGTTAAATATTGACAAATAAAGATGACAATTTTTCAAAAAGTAAAATAGTATTTTATCTTCGAAGGAGATCAGCGCTCAGAAAAAAGCAATTTTATCGAATATTTTTTTTCTAAAAATCCGTGTGCTGCAGAATTTTTTTTGCTGCTGTTCATGTGCCTACAAAAAAACGTCGGACTACTCTGAATTTCTGGATCGAGCCCTGCTGGCTTAAGTATTTATGTGTGAAGTTTTTAGTTTGACTTTAATTGCAATGTTTATAGGTGTTGGAAGCGGCCTCGTGATCAACTTCTTCAAGAAACTCATAGTCACGTGTGCAGATAGTTTTTCACGCGGGAAGCTCGTCCTTCCCTCTGAAAAAGAAGATTACTTGAAGATTATCTCTTGCTGTCTGAAGTTCATAATGAGGAATGAGAAAAAATTTGAAAGCAACAATCAAGTTTACAAGGTGCGATAAAAAGATTTATACACTTCGAGTTCATTTCAAGTGGGTGAAAATCTTTAAGGTATCCCTGCCCACTTAAATCCGCTACTTCCTCGTCTTCTGATTTCTGAAAGAAGAGCAACTTTTTTCCTTCAGCTTAAAATTTTTATTCATGCTGGTAATAATTATGCGATAAAAAGAAACATATTTGGTCATCATACCTAACCTTGGAAAACATTTGTAACACCATAAAAAGGATGCTCATGGTGGAACAGTTTAACTTTTTTGAAAATTTTGACTCAGTTTTTGTTACATTGTCAAAAGAGTATTTTCATTTCAGAAGTGTTTCAACGACGAAGAGCGCAAAAAGATAGTGACGTGTTTCAAGACTATCTCGGTGTTGAAGGATTTCGGGGATGTGCCGATAGATGAGAACCAGCTGCTGGAGGACATCAACAATGGAAAAGGATCCGACAGACAGAGCTCACTGCACGACAGGTCAGTTTTTGATGTATTTCTATTTGATTAAAAAAGATAGCTGAGATCGGAGCATAACATTCTGGGCTACTTGCTCAGCAAACGGGTACTCTTGTCATTTGGAGTTCTCAAGCGCCACTGAAGCTGTGTTCAATTTTGAATTTTAGTTTTCAAGTGGAAATTTTTAGGCTAATCAGATTTTATAGCCGATTAGAAAGCCAGTTTCTGGCTGCTTATGATTTGACATAAAAATCATTGCAGGTTATAACAAGTGTTTGTTCGTTGTAACTGCAGACTGGGTGATTTCGAGCGGGAGCACGGGGCAGTGGTGTGTAGAGTGATGGAACTGGTGCGGGCATACAATCTCATGATGGAGAGGGCCATGAAGGCATACATTAGCGAGAGCGAACTGGAGGACTACTTGGACTCAGTCGCCGAACAGTGGTGAGTTTGCTGCACCGAGAATTGCAGAAGTCACATGGGTTCCCTTTAAATATCCTTCCCCTTGCAGCAATATTGGGAGAAAGATAGATTAGTAGGTGCAAAATTCACATTTGTTTAACTGTTGAAACAGTTTTTCATAGGGGGATTAGTTATTAGGTGCGGTGGGCGGATCCATTCAGATGCAGTGCCAAACTTGTTCGTAATTGAAACTGAAAACAGATTAGATCTATTAGCAGTATTAGTAGTAAAAGACTTAATTCCATATGCGTGCAGTCACATTAAATAAAAATACTATAACAAATGAAACAAAAAGACTTATGAGCGACAAAATTTACAGTTACACTTTATATAGAAAGAACATGAATGAGAGATGTTGAAATGAGTGGTTTCAGACAAAAGAAAATTTCGCAGCACCGATTTGAAAGTTTCAAAAGGTTGATTAAAATCAAGCACTTTACGGCAGATTAGAGCATTTGCAGTTCGAGTACATCAGACAAAAAGGTTACATGGCGAAGTCCAAGCGCTGTTCATTCGAAAGATTTTTACCAATTAGGCCATCAAAACTCTGGTAAAACAACAAAAAAAATAAAACACACAAAAAATACGAAAACAAAATATATTTTTTTGGTTTGAAGAAAAACTTTTTATCAAAAAATTCTATCGCAAAGAAAATTGTTTTTCACACAATTTTATAAAATAGAAAAAAAAAGCTTGCCATTTTCATGCATGCGTTTCTTCCAATGAACCGTATGGAAGTATTTTGCCAGGACTGACGTGCTCGACTCATGATTTTATTTGTGTGCGCTCAAATCGGCTTCGCTAACAAAAACATTTTAAAAAACAGTTTCATTTGATTTTTTTGATAACTCGAATTAATCGTAAGTTCGGCTTTTTAGAAATTGGAAGTGATTAGTAAGTGTCCTGTTTCTATACTAAATTTCAAATTTATTTGACAGCAAGGAATAAACAACTTCATTACGTGACCGCAAAGTCATTACGTGACCGTAAAGTGATGGGGGTTTAAAGAGTGCCATTTTGGCCAATTAGGGACAATAAATGCGCGATATACTTCGCGCTATTAACGAGTAATCGGAGATTTAACCCGTCTTAGAAGTCGTTCGAAATTGGTTGAAAGAAGCTTATTTGCCGTAATTGGTTTGTTACAAGTAGCGAAATAAATTCTTTTGTACTATATGGTGTGTGGGAGAATGATTTTCATTCAGAAAATTCAAATTTTGGAAAAAAAAATTTTCATTCGGCTGTATTACATTTATTTTTCTTATGTTGTTACTGCTCCATAAATCTTAGAAGGCAGTCTGGACAATTAGTGCTTTGTCCTGATACGAGCAGTCTTGCTTAAAATTGTTTTCGTTACGAAGAATAATTGAGCGCATTTGAATAAAGTCGAAAAACTTTTGTGTTTGGTTAGAAAACTCAACTGTTTAAAATCCAGTGCTAGTTTTTTGGCTGATCTGTACTAATTCGATGAAAATTCAGTGTTAAAAGATCTTGTCCTGGTTTTTTACAGATTCATTTTTATCCAACAAACTGAAATAAAAAGAATTTAACAAAAATTGAATTTCATTTTTTTATAACTTTTTTTTTCATTTTATTACTGCTCCATAGATTTTAAAATGCAGTCGGAGCTTTCAGGGCTCCACTATTTTCTGTCCTCGGTGATTTGATATGCCTCAGGAATTTGAACTTAAGAGGATTGTACAAAGAATTAATGTCTTTTTGAACTAATGTAGCCCACGATGTTTTTTGTCAACCCTGTGGGTTTTTAGTGGGTCTTTGTGTCAACACTAACGACGTGTTCGAACCAGGCTTGACGTCTACGCTTGATACGGGTACTCCAGGGTTCTAGTTTGGTTGTTTGTAGAAGTTTTTGTTCGTGATGATGTTAGGATAAAAGATACCTATGATTTTACGTCGAAAGCGTCTTTGTATGATATCAACGACGCCTGTCAGCTTTTTGGTTAGCGTCCAGAATTCACACTTATCAAGGAAAACACTAGAAATCAAGGCGTTGAAGACTCAATTTGGTATTCACCGAGGTTTTTGTTAATGTTGAAAATACCTTCGCCTCTCACAAAAGGTACGTTGTTTGCGTCGAATATCTGATTCCGTGTCAAATAAAGTACCAAGGAAATTGCAATTCTTCCAGTCGTTGGTGCTCCCTGAAATGTGGAATTTTCCAATTTCGAATTGTTGATAAGCAGACTGTGTTTAGCGAGCCTTGTAGTTGCAAGAGTCATGATGCGGTCAAGTTTGTCTTTTAATCGGTTAATTCAGCTGACTGTTTTCGACCAATTTCTTTAAAAGGAGATTTTCTGTAGTAGATACCATAAGGGGGATTGTTTAGCAGATCTGTAAGGTTTTCTAAAACAAGCTCGTCTTATAACATCTTAACAGAATTGTAAAAGATTTTAAAAAATAAACACTCGTTAATGAATTAAAAAGCTGCACGGATTTTCTCAGCGATTGCTCATGTTGAAAGAATTTGTAGAAAAACATAAGATTTTGAATAATCTTGAAAGATTTTGTAAGAAGTAATATTATATTGTAAGTTCTTACAAGATAACTCTTCCTCAGAAATTAAGTCTTCAAAATTCATGAAACCTTCCTAAATTGAAGTTAGATGTGCAAGAGAAAGCGATTTATCAATCCTTTTAAAAAACGTTAATTTTTAAATTGTTTTTTCTTTGTTTATCATTAGTTTTGTTTATGTTCCCAGACGGAGAACCAAGTTTCTATGCCCATAAATAAAAAAGTTGCACGTCTGAATGTGGAGAAATGTTCAGTTGTATATCATTTAAATAAATTAGCAACCAAATCCGTGAAGAAATTAAGGCCCATGTGAACAATCTTCCCCCTCAATAGACCAAGTGAACAATCTTGTTCCCTGGGGAGATTGTTCACTTGGTCCGAAATTAACTTTGATGTTGAAAATAGCTGAACTTCAATTCGATTTTCTGGCTAATTGTGGTCTGTTTAGAACAATGTTGAAGAGGACCAGAAACTGGGAGAAATGAAGATGTTCTTTGCCCAGAAGACACCCCTGCAGGATTCACTTTTCAAGTTCCTGCAGGAGTCCGACCAAATGAACACAGGTTAAATATTGACAAATAAAGATGACAATTTTTCAAAAAGTAAAATAGTATTTTATCTTCGAAGGAGATCAGCGCTCAGAAAAAAGCAATTTTATCGAATATTTTTTTTTCTAAAAATCCGTGTGCTGCAGAATTTTTTTTGCTGCTGTTCATGTGCCTACAAAAAAACGTCGGACTACTCTGAATTTCTGGATCGAGCCCTGCTGGCTTAAGTATTTATGTGTGAAGTTTTTAGTTTGACTTTAATTGCAATGTTTATAGGTGTTGGAAGCGGCCTCGTGATCAACTTCTTCAAGAAACTCATAGTCACGTGTGCAGATAGTTTTTCACGCGGGAAGTTCGTCCTTCCCTCTGAAAAAGAAGATTACTTGAAGATTATCTCTTGCTGTCTGAAGTTCATAATGAGGAATGAGAAAAAATTTGAAAGCAACAATCAAGTTTACAAGGTGCGATAAAAAGATTTATACACTTCGAGTTCATTTCAAGTGGGTGAAAATCTTTAAGGTATCCCTGCCCACTTAAATCCGCTACTTCCTCGTCTTCTGATTTCTGAAAGAAGAGCAACTTTTTTCCTTCAGCTTAAAATTTTTATTCATGCTGGTAATAATTATGCGATAAAAAGAAACATATTTGGTCATCATACCTAACCTTGGAAAACATTTGTAACACCATAAAAAGGATGCTCATGGTGGAACAGTTTAACTTTTTTGAAAATTTTGACTCAGTTTTTGTTACATTGTCAAAAGAGTATTTCCATTTCAGAAGTGTTTCAACGACGAAGAGCGCAAAAAGATAGTGACGTGTTTCAAGACTATCTCGGTGTTGAAGGATTTCGGGGATGTGCCGATAGATGAGAACCAGCTGCTGGAGGACATCAACAATGGAAAAGGATCCGACAGACAGAGCTCACTGCACGACAGGTCAGTTTTTGATGTATTTCTATTTGATTAAAAAAGATCGCTGAGATCGGAGCATAACATTCTGGGCTACTTGCTCAGCAAACGGGTACTCTTGTCATTTGGAGTTCTCAAGCGCCACTGAAGCTGTGTTCAATTTTGATTTTTAGTTTTCAAGTGGAAATTTTTAGGCTAATCAGATTTTATAGCCGATTAGAAAGCCAGTTTCTGGCTGCTTATGATTTGACATAAAAATCATTGCAGGTTATAACAAGTGTTTGTTCGTTGTAATTGCAGACTGGGTGATTTCGAGCGGGAGCACGGGGCAGTGGTGTGTAGAGTGATGGAACTGGTGCGGGGGTACAATCTCATGATGGAGAGGGCCATGAAGGCATACATTAGTGAGAGCGAACTGGAGGACTACTTAGACACAGTCGCCGAACAGTGGTGAGTTTGCTGCACCAAGAATTGCAGAAGTCACATGGGTTCCCTTTAACTATCCTTCCCCTTGAGGCAATAGAGGGTGAGGGATTTATTATTAGGTGCAAAATCCACATTTCTTTAACCGTTAAAACAGTTTTTCATAGGGGAGATTAGCTACTAGGTGCCGTGGTTAGAGCCAGTCAGATGCAGTGTCAAATTTAGTCGTAATTGAAACCGAATTCAGACTAGATCTATTAAAAAAAACTTTTAAGGTTTTTGCTCCCTTAATGTACTATTTGATTGAAGCCCTGAAAGATCCGAATGCCTTTTAAGGTCTATGGGGCAGTAATCACATGAAAAAATAAGGTAAAAAAATGATATTTTTTAATTCTGGGATTTTTTGTTAAAATCATCCCCCCACACGTCATACAAAGTGCAAAGTAAAAAAATTTGCTCCTAGTAACAAATCAATTAAGGCAAGTAAGCTCTCTGCTACCAATTTGGAACGATTTAAATCTGCGCTTACGCGTTAATAGTGCGAAATATATCGCGCGTTAATTGTCCCAAATTGGCCGAAATGGCAATTTTCAAACCCCATAACGTTCCGAAAAACAAGTACAGGTAAAATATCTTTTTAAATTTAAGCTCAGGACAACAATACCTTTCGAATGATAAAAAAATTTCTTCAAAATTGTTTAGTTAAGAAAACGAAATTTGTTTGAAGAAAAACAAAACCACCCCGAGCACAATTTTTCCGTTATTATTGTTACAAAATTCGGAAAAATATGACTGCTTGAGCAAGGATAAAACTCTGAATGCTCCGAATGTCCTTTGGGGTCTATGAAGCAGTTTTTACCTTAAAAAATTGATGCATTTTGTTTAAAAAAAAATTTAAAAAAACTACGAAAATTTTTATTTTTATAAATCAACACCCACATACCATATGAAGTACAAAGTGATAAATTTCAATCCTAAGACAAATCAATTTTTGAAACCGAGCTTCATTCAACCAATTTGGAATGATTTCTAAGACAGATTAATTCTCCGCGCTTAAGCGTTAAAAGAGCGAAGTTTATCGCGCGTTTTGTGTCTCTATTTGATCAAAATTGAAAACTTTAAACCCCATAACGATACAAAAAACAATCACAACTGATATATTTTTTCAAATTTAAGCTTAGGACAACAATACTTTGTGAATGATAATCACAATTTCCCTCAAAAATGGATAGTTAAAACGTCGAAACTTGTCTGAAGAAAAACAAACCCACCCCGAGCACAAGTTTTCCGTTATTATTGTTAGGAAAGTCGAAACAACAAGACTGCTTGAACGAGGGTAAAGCTCTGAAAGTTCCGAATGTCTTTTAAATTCTCTGAAGCAGTGTTTATTAAAAAAAATTATGCATTTTTTAAAAAATAAAATTTAAAGAAAACTACAAAAATTTTGATCTTTTCAAAATCAACCCCAGATAAAGTACAAAGTGATGATTTTCGCTCATGAAAACAAATCAATCAAAGAAACTGAGCTTCCTACAACCAATTTCTAAGGATTTCTAAGACAGATTAGATCTCCGCTTACGCGTTAAAAGAGCGAAGTTTATCGTGCGTTATTTGTCACTAATTGGCCAAAACTGCAACATTTAAACCCGCATAACTTTAGCAAAAACGATCACAGCTGATATATAGTTACAATTTTAAGCTCAGGAGATTACTACCTTTTGAAAGATTTTGAAAAATTCCGTCAAAAACGAAACCCACCCACAATTCAGTTGTTTTCGTTACGAAAGTCGGAACAACAGGACTGCTTGTTGTAGGGCAAAGCTTTGAACTTTCCGGTGATCATTCAAGTTATATGAAGAAGTGTTCGCAAAAAAAATGATGCAATTTTCGAAAAAAAAAACTACAAAATTTTTTTTTTTTATAATCAACCCCCACTTACCATATAAAGTACAAAGTGATATATTTAGTTGCTAAAAACAAATTAAGTATAGAATATGAGCTTCCTTCAACCAGTTTAGAACGATTTCCAAGACGGTATAAATCTCCGCTTACGCGTTGATAGAGCGAAATATACCGCTCGGTAATTGTCCATAATTGGCCAAAAGTGCAACACTCAAACCCCCATAATTTTAATAAAAGTAATCACAGTTGATTTAGCTTTCAATATTTAAGCTCAAAACTCTAGTACTTGTTGAACGATATCAAACATTCCGTCAGACATGGTTAGTTAAAAAGTCAAAATTTGTCTGAAGAAAAAAAACACCTCGAGCACAAAACTTTCGTTACTTTCATTACAAAAGTCGGAACAACAAGACCAATTGGCTAGCACCAACTCTTCATCAGAGACAGCACATTTATGAAATTGTAAGGTATCTATGTTAAAGGCAAGTAGATTAAGTTTTTGGTAGCCTTGTGTAATGTATACAAGATACTCTTACCATCAAAGAATTCCTCTGCGTTTTAAAAACACGCTATTCATATACAATTTCTATATATAGAAATTGTATGATTAGAACTTTTTGACAGAAGTTTTTCTTTTTTATTAGTACGATACACCGACTTTTATGCCATTACAAGAAAAAGCTTCTTTGAAATTACTATGACACCATTTTAGCATGATTAGGATTTTTTCAGAGACTTAATTTATGGAATTGTATGATAAGCATTTTTGGTCTATGAAGGTCAACCCTTGTACGTAATTCCTCCGTTGTTTGAGTAAAAACTACAGCAACTATATAAATAGTCCCTTTGTGAGATTAATTCCAGGATACCTGAGGCACGTTGCCGCCCTTACTGGGTTGCTGCTACAAAACTTTGTCCGGTAACAAGCAGTACATGTCGTTGCCCAATAAATGCAACAAAGTTGTCAATAAACTACAAGTGTCAACCTTTTTTTTGTGAAGAAAACTCTTTTGTTAAGAACGTTTCAAAAAAATTCTTAGATGATTTTAGTTTAAAAATTACACGAATTGCCAGGCGTGCACTAAACAAGCTGATGTAACCTCAAACAAGGACAATCTTTGAATTTTCTAAAAACAATTTTGCGAAGAATATATTATGAATAACAAAAAATTCCTTTCAAAAAATACCAACCCAATGAATTGCCTCGAATTGGTTATGCATTTCTACATACTTTGAAGGCCAATTTTCTTCAATTTCTTTGCGCCATCTTTTCTTGGTTCCTTCGTTTTTAATAAATTGCCTGCATTGCAAGTCATTTAAGCGTTGGACTGCTATTTTCCCCAAGAATTGAATACTTCAGTATAACTCTTAAAGATTTTAAGGTATGTTTACATTTGCAACTTCCCGTTGAAAAACAAAACTTCGAAAAAAACCGTTGACAAAAAAAACTTTCGAAAATGGAAGCCGATAAGCCTTTTTTGTTCATCAGGTACGACGTGACCAAACGAGCTCTGAAGTGTCTCGAGTCCATTACAGGGGCCATTCTTTCTCTCTACGCCTGGAAACTGTGCCATGGTAAAGCTATGGACGACGAAGACATTACTGGATACTCCAAAGTTAGTAAAGTGAAACTCATTTGTGCGTTCATATTTGTTTAAACACTTTTGGAAGACGAAGTTTGAAGACTATCGTAGTTTGAAAAGCTGTTTGTACCAATTTTATCTGAAACAGAGAATTTGTTTAATCATTTTATTGACTCGACTCCTTGGGCGCTTTTATTTGGCGTGTTTGAAATTGCGTGGCAATGACAGAGAGTTAAAAAATGATAGGCTTTTTAGGTTTTCGATACCAGAAATAAAGCATGCAAGCCAACCAATTGGAATCGTTTTAACTCCATTTTGTTTGTGGTTCAAGCCAGGCGCGGATCCAGAACTTTCTCGCGGGTAGGGTGGGGTTTTCAAACCCCTCCCCCCTCTAAATCCGCCCTGCTTCAAACTAGAAAAAAAATTCTAAAAGCAGTGGCATGCGCAGATATTTTTCTAATGGGGCGATTTTTTGAAAAATTTTGAATATTTTGTCGACCTTTTTTTTGGTTGGCCAATTTGATTTTCCGAGCCCTCCGAAAAAAAATTAATTCTCTGTATGAAGAAAAACTGAATTCTTTGCTTTTCGAAATAATTTTGTCATCAAACAATGTCCGACCCGAGAGATAAATTGCTAGAAATTCAACACTAAGCCTGTGCTTTTAGTTACACGTTTTCATTTAGCCCTAAGCTTCAATAAATTTGGTCGAAATGAGATCGGAGCTTAGAGGTGAGCAATTTAAGTTCATTTAAAAAATCAATCAGCTTCTGGAAAGCCCAAACAGATTTTGGAAGGAATCTCAAGTAGGTAAAAAAAACCTATGTTGCCCATTGAACATTCTTTCGCATTAGCAATTTCCTCCGCGCCAAATAAAACTGGGGCAAAAATCTGTTTAGGTGACCCGTTACAACTACAATGGAGAGGAGAAAACAGACATGACAATTGCGATTGGACTGGCTAAGGGACTGCAGAGTGTACTGATCAAGTACGAGGAGATATTCTCCTTCTTAGTCGGCAGACACTGCTTCGCCAGGATACACCACGTGACCGATAAAGTTATACCGGTGCTCGTGGAAAAAATTCCGGTATTTTATAACCAAAGAACATTTTTCAGTTACTAATCTACCTAATTTCACTGAAGAGGGATTTATAAATCAGAAGTGTATGACTGGTTTTTATCGCATAAACTATAACAAACTAATTCCATCTTTTGATATTCATACATCATGAAATTAAATCAGAATATCAAAAGATTGAAATAATTTGTAATAGTTTATGCGATAAAAACCTGGAATACACTTCAGATTTATATATCCTCCTTTACTGAATTGAGGTAGCTAAGTAACTGCAAAATCAGTTAACTGAAAAATCAAAAAAAAATTGTGATGTTTGTTCTCGTATTCGGTAGGTTAAAGAGCTGTTGCGAACAAGAACGTAAAGCTCTTCATGAGCAAACTTTATCAAAATTCAATAATTTTATTCTGATCAACCACTGAGCGGGTAAAACCATTACGAGGCCAAACTTTGCGCTTGATAGACGCACAAACTGGTGTCTGTAGTCACTGGAATCCAGATACATGTCTTTAAAAATGTTCCGAAAAGTCAGCGGGTTTCACTTGTAAAATTTGCAAGGATTCCGCGTTATGTAAGTTTTGTTGGCATATTAGTGTTTCTGCGGATTCCGCAACGAGCGAATAAAGCTAATTATTCTGGATTTCGCAAAAATCTGCGGATTCCGCAAACAGTAAGTGAATACCTCACATGTAAGTGGATTGCGCACAACTGAAATGTAAAATCTAATCAAGTAGGGGAATTTCGCAAATTGTAATGCTGCCGACTCCACTAAAAATCGGTTCTCAGTCTGTGGCAGAATCCACCTACAATTCACAAAATACACAGTTTGGCCTCGTAATGATTGTTTTTTTACTATTTCGAAAAAAGAAAATCTGAAAAATGGTACAAAACTACTAATCGTTAGAAAAAAAATCCGTGTAATTTCTACTAAGTTTGCTTTAAGATATAGTTTAAAATCAATCAGTTCATACAAAATCAAAAAATCCGCGTATATTTTTACAAAACATTGAGAGCAATTCACGGGAAAAAAAGTTGTCGCAGACATACCGAATATTCAGTATGTCAATTAAAGATGGCATAAAGGTGGTATATAAACCGGCCGAAGTATAAACCAGCCGAATATCAACCAGCCAAAAATACGTAAGTTTTATATAATAGTTATGTAACAATTATGTAACAGTTACAAAAATTATGCAAATTTCATTCGTATGATGTAACTTTTCGACTGGTTTAAAAGATTGTTTGGTTTATACTTCGGCTGGTTTTTTTACTCGCGGCATAAAACAATTCGGCGCTATTTCAATATTAATATGAGCAAAAACTCGTCAAAAATTTTGACCCGATAAAGCACTGCGCTTTTTTTTCTACATAAAAAAATTTTGTTTGGCGGAGGGGGGGGGGGGGGGGGGAGGAGTTTGGAAAACCTTTGGATTGCGTTCAAAATTGAAACTAATATTTGGAACTCGTACGTGTTTTTTATTTCATTTTTTTTATTTTGCATAAATTTTTGATTTTTCAAAATGAAGTAAAATTTTGGAATTCAAACGTTTTTCTTTCAGGAAAAACACAGAATGACAACCCGCATGTACCTGGATACACTTGTCAAAATTGCCAAGAAGTTCAGGAACCCCTACAAGAACCCAAGCAATCTTGGCCCCGGGAACTCCCCGGGAACTGCCCGGGACAACAAATCTGGCGGGAAATCTGGCGAGAAGAAGGGCGGACATCATGTTCAGACAGTTGAGGCGGAGCCATCTCCTACTGGGTCTACCGGTCCTGGAAATACCCAGCTGTATATGATGAGATCTAGTAAGTATTGCCCGGCTCGAAAAATTTCTCACAGAAAAGTCGGAAAAGTCTTTAGAAAAATTCCGAATACTTTCCATGGCCATTTTAAGCAGAATATTCAGAATTTCGATACGGAAAACAATTCATGAGAAGGCCAGATTAATTCTAACTTACAAAAAAATCTGATGTTACTGACTTTCCCTCCTCTTTCCTTTTTCTTTCACTTTTGATTAAAAGTTTTAAAAGTTTATTTTTTAATTGTATCACCTTCAAATGGAAAGTTAGAAATAGAATAAATAAAAACTTTTTTGAACAAATTCGTTGCACTTCGTAATTTTCTAAAGCATTGTTGTTCCGACTTTCGATACGAAAGTAACGGAATATTTGCGCTCGGGGTGGATTTTTTTTCTTCAGACAAATTTCGACTTTTTAACTAGCCATTTTTGACGGAATTTTTTTTATATCATTCGAAAGGTATTGTTGTCCTGAGCTCAAATTTGAAAAGATATTTCACCTGTGATCAATTTTCGTAAAGTTACGGGGGTTTAAAGATTGCCATTTTGGCCAATTCGGGACAATTAATGCGCGATATATTTCGCGCTATTAACGCGTAAGCAGAGAGTTAATCCGTCTTAGAAATCGTTCCAAATTGGTTAAAAGAAGCTTATTTGACATAATTGGTTTGTTACAAGGAGTAAAATCTATCCCTTTGTATTTTATGGTTCGCAAGCTTATCACCCCGTGTTTTGTAACCCCCTTTTTCTTAACCCCCTCTCATATAACCCCAAAATCAGATAACCCCACTACATTTTAACCCCTTTTTAAAACCAATTGTTAGAATCAAAGTGAAAGTTACTTGAAAAGGATTCGGAACCATTCGGTAATCATCAAAGCTTTAATTGCGAAAAATTTTGCGAACCAAAATGAGTTAACATGCACGCTGCTAAATGCGTTTTAGATTGGAACAGAAATGACCTTGCCGATAGTCTAGACTTTGATATGAACTTGAAAACGAATCCGACCGACATGATTCAAATTGGTGCATATACAAAACAGTCCAAAACCATTTGAATTTCTTGACCTTGATCTTTTGGCGCCGACAGAATTGATCTACGCTTTGAAAACTCAAACATGGGCTTAATTTAAGTTCAAAGAGCCAAAGTTGGAAGAATAATTCGGATGACCACCAAAGGCCTCATGGTATAGTGGTTAAAGCGTTAGTCTCAAAATCTAGAGATCAAAGGATCGAATCCCTGGCGGCACAAAAAATTTTCCAATTTTCCCCAAAAAACTTGAATTTCGGGTAAAATGATACCGGGTATATCAATGGTACAATAAATGGGTTAACCTTACAGGGTTGGGCGGAGGGAAAAGTAAAGTCAACACCTTGTATGTCTTTATTATTTTGCCGGTTTCAAATCGACTCTAGTTCAATTTTGAAAAATCAAGGAAAATAATTAAACTTGGAAAAAATTTTATTGCTTGGCAATATAGATTAAATATGGCAATGTTGTCTGTAAATGGCTGAATGGCGGTTGCGACTGCGACGGTTGGGGTGTTATTATCGCTTAGCTCCTTGATGTTTTTCAAAACTATTCGAGCATCAGGTTTGCCCGTGGAAATATCGTGATTATGTTGACCCCTCGTTTCAATAAAGTTTTTTCCATCCGTAATTGCTGTTGCGCGGCATTTATGGGTTTGGTACTTTGAGCAGTTCCAATTTGTTGTCTTGTTTTTTCGTTTAAGGTAATACTCGTGGCCTGATACCACTAGCATTTGTTTGTCTTTCGAAGATAAAGTAAAATGGAATGACGCTTCAAACATTATATCTGATCTGATAGAGTGGTATAACAATTGTTAAAGAAATAGGCAGTATGATTTTTTATAAAACTCATAAACGTCTTTTGTTGCCTTCAATTAGCACCATGTAGGTTATCTCTGTTTTAAACGCGTGAGTGAGGGATTATTTCTCTAACTAATCGAAATGCAATTACTTTTGAGATGCTAGAGGCATCAAGTGAATTAAGACTAGCTTTTCAGGCCTCAATTAGTAAGCTTAATTGGACTACTCCTGTACTTATAAAAAGGACTTAATTTGAAACAAATTATCGTCATTAAAAGGGGGTTAAATTGTTGTGGGGTTATCATGTTACGGGGTTATAATTTAGTGGGTGTAAACAGAGGGGGTTAAATATCGTAGGGTTAAAGAGTGGGACACCGTATTTTATATGGCGTGTGGGGGGATGATTTTCATAAAAAATTTCAAACTTTAGAATTTTTTTTTTCATTTTGTTTTATTTCATTGAATTTTACAAATTCACCCTGATACGAGCAGTCTTGTTTTTAGTTTAGCCATTACAAATCTTCTCTTTCCCCTTTCCTTTTGTAGACGCCAGCAAATAACAGCCCTCAATAGCCCGCCTCATATCGTATAAAATCCTCTATGTAGCGATTAGGCTGGGGGAGGGTAACAAAAGAGTAGAAAATAGCCATAAAATGCAAGGTATTTAAAATTGGGGTCAAATGTTATCAGTCTTGTGTTGCTGCGTTACAGTGCTGATGCACAACCTCTAAAATTTATATTCTTACTCTTCTGTTTTAATTGGTACCTGTCTAAAAGCGACATAGCTTTTAGGCATCTTTGTTGTTTTGTTAGTTTTTTCTGATGTGACAGACCTTCCGTTGATTTACCTAGCCTTTTAACCACGTTAGTAACTTTAATCTTACCTTAGTTTAAACCATCGTTCCTTAGTTGTCTTTTGGAACCAGTCAACTAACGACTGCGAAAAGTGGGCAGAAAAACTCCATCTCACAATTATAGCAAAGGACTCAGTGGACATATATGATGTGATAAGCCCACCAGAACGCGAACCTATACAACCTCCAACTCCTGAACAGCCTTCATAGAACGAAGATGCTAGACAGCGACAGAACAGAGAGACAAGGTACTCAGCACTGTTAAACATCTGTACCGAGGAAGTGAAAAGACACAGACAAGAGGATTTTAACAAACTTAACGGATTCCAAAGAGGAGAAATTGATAAGGAATTGGAATTCCAGCTTTATTTAGCATTAGCAAAGAGATAAAAAAATATATTTTGCCCATAAGAACCGGGGAAAGAAAAACCTCGGTATTAGTTTTGTGGAAATCTGGCAGTTGTTTTGAACAATTTTCGATACTGGAACAAACTCCACTCAATTTCTTCAGCAATCGTCAAAAAGACAACGAAAATCTACAAGAAACCTTGACAGAATAAGCAAAACATTGCAGCTTAGGCGAACTAGAACGAGAAAAGTGAGAGGTAATTTCATCACCAATATGAGAAAAAGAATTACAAAAAACTCTGTATCGAATATTTTCCTGCTGAAAATTTTTCAGCTTCTGTGCTTGTATCCGAAAAGGAAACTTGAGCATAATTTACCCTAAGAAATGTGAATCTAAATATTGAACTATCCCTTAACATATCAAAGAACCAAAAGTGCCTAAATTGCTGTCAATTTTTTTAAGAAGATCTCCTAGTTTGCCCCAGCTAGAGATAAATCACGCAAAAACTGTAGACGGAAAAGATTTTTTTGCAAAAGACTGTAGGAGCTAAGGTAGACCACAAATAGAAACAAACATGACTTGAAGATGCACCCCTAGCATGTGAAATCAATATCCAACGTCGAGACAATAACTCAAATCTCGAATTTGTTGTCAACCTAGGAACTAAAGAAGAAACTAAAGTCAACAATATACGAGATAAAAAACATGGAATTAGAACGGTGTTTTCACGCGATTGACAAGAAATCAAGAAAACATTAAAAGTTACCCTTGGCATCAACAAGCCATTGGATAACGAAATACGGATTGACTTAGCTGGTCCACTATCTTTTATGAAAAAAATCAGATAAACTGAAAAAAAGAGACCAATTTTTTAGGATAGAACCGGTAAACCAATTCACCAAAAGAGCATATCAGTTTCGGAAGCACCATTAACGTCATTGAAAGAGTACTCGTCAAGATACAATCAATTAGATGGATTGCAATCGGCCAGATGCTATTTTCAACTGATGGGACCGAGAGAAACTTTCTGGGAAACGATAATTTACGTGAATCGACATTGAATTAGCCCCTACAGCGAGACAGAACAGTCAAATCTGCCAGATTCGTCTCAACAGCACTAGTGAACAGTACCGAACACGATTTGAAACTGACATGCCGCTTGAGTTAACTACTGCAGCCCACAACAAAATGAATTTAGATAACTTATCCGCAAACAGTTTCCACTTTTTACTAAAAAAACAGGTAGATCGAAAAGCTGTCAGATTTGTCTCAAAAGCAATGCTGAACAGTACCTAAAACAAATTGAAACTGACATGCCGCTTGAGTTAACTACTGAAGACCCACAAAAGTGGGTTTTCAAAACTTATCTGAAAACCAGTTTCCTTTTATTACTACAAAAACAGGTAGATCAAAAAGCTTTAAAATCAACGCATAATTTTTTGAGCCAAGAAACCAAATTAAGTCAAGGGCAAACGAATACCTATACATCTATCCGAAGTTTAAGCTTTGCGTGGACCAATTGTTAAAAAATGGTCATATAGTAAAGCTAACCAACTGTTCGTAAGATTCTTTCCTTAGTCCTATTGCCCTTATCGCAAACAGAACGGCTCGGTTAAACTAGCACCTAACTCGAAAATTTTAGATCAATAAATCTACAATAGTCACTGTTAAATGCCCCATATAATTGAACTGATACACAATGTAGCTCTTACGATCAGTGGAAATACAGCAAACGCGGTATGGTTGTCAACATTACATTATAAATAAGCGTACAGCCAATTTTCACTTCAAATTCTAGTACAATCAGGCATCAAAGGTGTCATTAGACCTTAAATACGCGTACAGTCAGATTCCACTTCAAAGGCTAGAAATCAATGCAATTTTAGTAATCAATAGATTTTTAATCCCACTATATTAGCTCTGTTAGTCTATTAGCTCACTTTTTATCATACCTTAATTTAAACCATCGTTCCTTAGTTGTCTAACTAGAACTTTTAAAAGAAACTTTCATTTAAAAGAAACTGTATAATTTGACCCTTTTACTAAAGCAGAAGAAACCATGACTCTTTTATAATTCACCTCCAAAATATTAATTTCGATTTCAACGTTGTAATAAGGCAATGAGAGGCTGAATGATGAAAAATTTAATTGTAAAAAACTAAATAGTACAGTTTTCTTGAAAACTTTAGGTCACATTGCGCATCTGGTCAGAATAGCAAATAAAATTTTTTTTTTATCACTAGAAACTTTTAGTTCTAGGAAAAAGCGCAAAAAAACTGTTTTTATAGCCATTTGGACAACCTAAAAAAAGACTGATACGGGGGAATCACATTACACCCTTCCAGGTGATGACTTTGATTTTGACCAAAAAAGTGCATTTTTTGACGCTCGCTCCCCATCAATTTAGTATATATTGGCGTCAAAGGTGCCTTTAGAAAAATTGAAGGGCTTGGTCGCCGTATCTGGATAAGAAAATAATACCAAAAGGAGGCCCTTTGATTGGCGAAGAAGCCAAATGATCAAATACTCATGTCTTATAGTTCTAAATTCATGATTTCATGGTGTTGAAGTTTTAAGAAAGCCGCAAAATATGAGAAGCCTCGCGTGAAAAAATGAGTTGACTAGAATTTTGCAAGTGACAAAGACTGTGAATTTTCGAAAATATTTCCTTCAGATTTTTTCAGGTCGACCAATATGAATTTTTCGAGTTATCCAAACACAAAAAAAGGCCAAAAAACTTTACTGCAAAAAACCTCATCTGATCGGATTTTCAGTGCGCCTGATTTTTTCTACTGTGCACGATTTTAGACTTTTGAGGTAGATATAAGTTTTTTTCGTCGACTAGGTGTTTATGTATAATACTAAATATGCATAATATTAAAAATGGACGGCTTAGAAACCAAATTTAAGGCTCTTTATATTGCAGTTCATATAGTAATGAACGAAAATTTACTGCATAATTAGTTTTGAAGATGCAGAGATTTGGTTTGCCGTCCTGGTTGTGATCTGGTTTCAGCTTTATTATCGACTTGATTTGATTAGATTTTTTGAGACGTGGAAATAAGCTAATTTAGTTTCGATTTGATTTGGCATTTTGTTGATTTTTCTTTAATCTAAAATTGTCTAATCTTTGTCTGGTCTTTCTGAATCTGATTTAATATAGGTTTGCTCGAAACTCGTTTGGTCGCACCAGATGAATTTAATTCCGGGTGGCTTTCTCATAGAGTAATTTTGGATAGGGTGCACCGACTGATTCGTGCAACTTTTTAGTCTAATACCGATCCTAATCCTACTCTTATATTTCTTAGTCTCAATAGATGTAGTATATACTAGTATTCTTGCGAGGTTAGAGGAGAGGAAGAGCAATTTCCTTCTAAGTTAAATTTATACTTCTCTGGCTGAAACTATAAATAGTTTCAGCCTTACAAATTATTGTATGTTGTAGTCATGGATCTTGATTGGTTAGTTGTAAATATTTTACAGTGATAGCTATCAAGAATGTAATTGGATATATTAAATACTTGTTTTGAACTAATTCCAGTAGCAAACCAGCCCCATCTCACATTGTTTTTAAATGGCCCGAATCCCATCCCATTTTTGATTGTTTTGAAAAAAGATTTTAAAAATATGCCCCCGTTCTTCTTCGAAATCGTTCTTCTTCGAAATAAGTGTACATCGGCGCTTTTTAGAAGTTATTTATGATTGATGTTTAAGCATTGTTGTCAAAAAACAGCATCAATTAGGGATGTTTTAGGTTTCAGCTTTTTGACGGATGTTTAGCTGTTGATTTTTTAAAAAAAGTTCTCATGTTCTTCTTACGGTTAAAGATAATTTAATTATCAAATTTATTTTTATAATCTTAATTTGTATAAACAGTGTTGGAGTGGCTATGTTCTTCGGACCAGATCAAGTTGCACAAAAGGGCAAAGGAGTTAAATCAGCAGCTGATGGCATTCCACGAGGAAACATTCTACTGGAGTTACGCACTCAACCTCACCTCAATCACCCCAAAAACAGGTCAGGCACTAATTGTCCTGAAACAACCGACAAACTTCAAATGGATTGATTATTTAACAAAAGCCTTCCAAAAATATTTGAAAAAAAAACATTATCGGCACATTTTCTCCTTCCGTCATTAGGCGTATAGGTCCGCACCTTAAACTCAAGTTGCAGCTTCTGGGATCATTACCTTTTTTTTCAGTGTTTTTTCGATCATTTATCTTCTTTGTTGTAGGTGACATGAGTATCCTGTGGTTTCGGGAGAGTTACCTCACCATGGAAATTGCCAAGACCAACCCTGACCCCCAATTCGGGTTGAATGAGAGCATGCCCTGGATACTAGCCGAACACTTGCTCGAGTCAGATGTGGGGGCGGGTGCTCTCATCGAACACTGTCTTAGTGAGTTTGTATGGTTAATGTCGAACTGTTAGCAATATTCATGAATAAATTAATAATCTAAAAAATATACAAAACACAGGCGAAGCTGAGCTAACAAAACAAGAAACCCGCTAAGTCTGAAAAAAATCAAAAAAATTTGAAAATTTTGAAAAAACTTGATCTATCAAAAAAAATAAGGCCATAGCTTTGAAACAAAAACTTTGATTTGCATCGGAAGAAATTTTACCAAACAGTAGCAAAGCCAAAAATACCTTGGCAGAAACCTTTTAACCAGAGAAAAAAAATCAGCAAGACTTAAGACTCAAAAAAAGTTAATAAGTCCCCCTCGCCCTCAAAACACAGAAAAGCACACACAAAAGAGCTCGTCGTAAGACGCAATCTGAAGCTATTGAGCCGATATAAAATAAGCCGATATCTATCAAGTTGAAAAAAAGGAAAAAAAAACAAATGAAACAAAAACAAAAAAAATGATATCATGAAAAACTTGAACTATAATTTCTTTTAGGATTTTATGCATTTTGAGCCAAGTGAGTATGAAAATTAAGTTATTTTTGAAACGATTCACAGTTAAGTCACTAAGCCGAAACAAAATAGGCCGAAACCATTTGGGGAAAATAAGTTTTGAAGTGAAAAAAAAGAGAACATGCAAAGTCAAGGTTAGTAAAATTACAAACAGCAGAGGTATATCAGAGCACTAAAAGCATCTACTGAACTGAAAATGAGAAGAAATTTTGTATTCGGGTTTCTGTTGGGTTTTTTTTTTGTTTTCTGCGAAAAAAAAATCAGGTAACGTAAATAATCATGGAATTGGGTTGAGTAAAATTTAAAAAACTTTCAGGGTAAGAATGAAAAAAACTTGAAAACGATAAGAAAATGTATATTTTTTTAATGATGATGATGACCCGGTGTCGAGAATTTTTTTTTCATTTTTTATTATTCATGCTTTGAAAACAACTGATTTACTAATTTTCCACGTTATTATATAGTTCTCTAATGCTACCACGCACAAAACGACGCTAACTTGAACAGAAAAAAGAAGCCTTTATAAAAGTTGTTGGAACATTCTGAGCTAGTAACACAGCAATTGGCTATCCTTGTCTTAATATTGGGTTACGGTGGCGAATGTTTTCGAGGATGGGGGCGGAATTTGAAAAACGTTTGAAACTTCATCGACATCGTTTTTTTTAGGTTTTGATTTTCCGAGCTCACACAAATCTCTTTACAGACCCTATATTTGACCAAATCGTTTGAGCTGGAGGCGAAATTTTGTAAAAAGATGCCAAACAGGGCAAAATGTGTCTGAGGCACTTTTTGGAAAATTTCGACTAAAAATTGCGTTTTTTTTCGGCGCGCGCTTCCCTGTCAAAATAAATATATTTTGGCGCCAAAAGCGCCCTTAGAAAAATTTGGTGTCAAGGCGTTCGCCCCTCTAAATCCACAGGTGTTCGGACCCAAAATTTACCCCAAAAATGAGCCATCTTTGTAACAAGCTCATTGTGTAAAAAATAGGCTTGTTGTGGTTGCCAGACGGTTAATAATACGTTTACTTAAGTTCCAGACATTTTATCCGCCTTTAACTTTGTTGGGCTGAGTTATAGGCTCTTTTTAGTGGTATTTATTTAAGTATTGACGCAACAGCTTTTGAGCTGCGTTTGATCAAACAATTTGAGTTAAAAAGACTATTTTTATCGCAGATTTTAAGTTCGAATTTTGCAAAACATGTTGCTTCATTTTATATCTGCTTAAAAAATCTTCAATAAAAAACTTACTCCTTGGTTTACTCTTAGAACCATTTTCTTTCCAGTTCCTTTCGAACTCTACAACGACTCGGCAGAAGCAGTTCTCAAATTCTTTCGCAAACAGCATCTCTTCGACGAACTGGAAGCGGAGACCTCTCTGGGATTCGAACAGCTGATCCACTGGTTGTACACTCACGTGTTTGAGAATACAATTGAGAGGGCTCTCTTTCATTATGCTGTCACAGTTGCACCTAAAAAGATGGAGAAATCGAACCTCGGTTAATAAAACTACTGATTTAGCTGACATCCCCCCCCCCCCCCAAAAAAAAACATCAAAACCTTAGATATTTCATCATGTTAACACGTGCGATCATTTTTTTGTTATCTTCATGTTTTAATTACCAAACGTAGCTTATCATTATTTGAACGTTTGCTACGCCACGCTCTTAATATCTATATTTTCGACCCTATTTTTCAAACGTTGGAAGTTTCTAACACACTTGTAATTAATTAGTTAAAGTAAGCTAACAAAATGATGAAATTAATTGATGTAAACAGGTGAACCGCGGAAACTGAACTGCAAGTGGCTCCTCCAGCAGAGCAACATCATCATGTTGGGCCAGACTATCAATCTGAGAGAGAGAATGGTGTCCAAGTTGGCCTCCCTGTTGAGAGAGGAACTGGCGATGGTGTTTGCCAGATTCAGGAACTCCAGCTACAGTTTCGCCTATATCTGGGAGATGTACACCAAGATTGAGATTCTGAGAGTTGCTCACAGTTTTCTGATCGAAGGTAAATTAACTACTCCCTGTTTCTATATTCACTCAAAAACGAAATGTTCTTGTTAAGTCAATGGTTTTGGACTTGCTAGAGACTCTTTTTTGGCTTGCAAGTCTTGGATTCATCGTGTTTTTTTTACAAACTATTCCCAATAATCGAGACCTATTGTTCACCATGAAATCAAAATATCCATTGTTTTTCCTTTAGAATCATCACATTTTAGAAAATAACGAGCGTATTTTTTGTTCCGATCATTGAAATTGGGGAGGAACTTTGTATTCGGATGTGTTTTTTTTTGTTCTCCACGCAAATTCAGCTATCACAAATAGTCATCGGAGAGAGTTGAGTGGTATATCATATCAAAGCCCTTTCAGTCGTGATATGTGAGAAAGACCGGTCTAAAATTTTTGATTTTTTGTGTAATTCTAGCGAATAAATAAGCTTGCAAGAGCATATTTCATTGGCTTAAAAGCTTACAATAGCTGAATTCAAGCCGTAATAACTTAGTTTTGCTCGAGGAAAGAAAGTTGTTTTCAGTATTTTAGCGCTTTTCTGGAATCGAAAAATCAAAAATTTCGAAAAACTAAAAAAAAATTTTAAAATTTTTTGTTAATTTTTTTTTCTAGTCACTTTTCCACAATTTTTTTTTTGCAATTTGCGTATTTTACTAAGAATATCGAATTTTTTTTTGCTCTAGTTGCTCGTTAAGATCATTTTGTTACACCACGCCGAAAAAAACTACCCTAATTTGAAAAAAAAATTGTGTTGTGTTTTTGTTAAGACGATAGTCGGAACATTCTGTGCTACTTGAACAGTAACCGGCTATCCTCGTTTACAATGTTGAGTGTGTTAAGCCTTGACTTCAATTTTTTTTAAAACGTAAGTTAGGCTTAAAAAGTATGTAGCTTCTTCAGTCTTGTCGTTCCCCTTTTGCATGGCAAAATCAACAGCGTTATCTTTTTATTAATGGCTTGTGATGGAACGCAATTATCTCTGTGAGTTGAATTACTCTTGACTTTGCAGTTTCAACGGCCTATTTCAATAGGTACCTGCCTGTCTGGCAATCGTTTGTGTTTTATCCTTACTTGAGTGTGACCTCGATAATAAAGTGTGGTTTAAGTATCTCAACTCTGGTTGTTTGGAAATTTGGAGGTACCTAAATAAACCCTCGTGTATCACTAGCCCTTAAATGGCTTGCAATTTTTAAAAGTTATGTTCTAGACGTCGAGCTTCCGGACTTTGAAACACTCATCCAAGAAGGCAAAGCGACTGCTCTTCCCGAGAACCAGCCATTTTTCCACTTAGTCATCAAGAAATTAGAATCATCCATTTTCCCCATGTACAATTTTGATTTACACAGTGGATGCGCCTATCTGAACAAAGATTTGTGGGCCAATTTGACTTGTTATACGAACCCAGAGACAATGGAACTAGTTTCCCCTCCAGTACCCGAATACCGACTGAAAGCTGCGAATAAAAAGACGACATTCTGTATAAATGCTTCGGAATACACCGAGAAACTGTTCACACAAGTCGTCGCGCCTTTGTTCGCTGTTAAATTCTACACTATTTGCGATGAACATTACCGGGCTCTTGTAAATTTGATATCGCTCGAAGAGTTGGCACTTATAGTTCGGGAAATTTCGAGAATCGTGGTCGAAAACTTCGCGAAAACTGAAGTGAAAGGCATGTTCGGATCTCAGCCTGTTCCGAGTGTCTTGTTCACACTTTCTCAGCTGTGCAGCGGAATGAATTCGTCCGAGTGTAAACTGGTAGCGACACCGACCGATTCTTATGCTCAGGCATGTTGGAAAACTAATTTTTTTTTTTCACGAATATAAACACAATTTCTTTTCGAATGTATTTTTGAGAACTCTCAATTGACATGGAATTTGGTGTCTGAGATTGGTTGTTTTCAAAAAAGAATACCAAATTTAAAACTATTTTTCAGAAAAACATTGCGTGAAATAATTTTTAAAAATACCAAGCTTAATATTCAATCTATCCAATATTTGAACATTTTCTCAATACGAATCCCGCACTGAAATTTTTTAGATAGTAATCAATTAACTGCAAATTCCGTTGCCTCAAAAAAAATCTTTTTTTTCCACAAATTTTATTTTCATTATGATTGATTGCTTACGGTATATTTTACTACAAATTATTATTATTTTCTTATTCATTAGGATATTTTTTTGAGACTTTTGAAGTTTTTTAGTCTAAAAACTTTGAAATGTTCAATATAGATTATCCGAATGCACGAAGCCTTCTGCCCCATAATACTCTACAAAGACTTGGATTTTCTAATCGAGGGGCTGACGGAAGTGGGAAACGCGATGATATTTTTATTCCACCTGGAGAAAATAGTGAAAACAGAGGAAGCTAGACGACATGTGGCCAGTGCACTGTTCACTAACCGGTTCAACCAGGACAAGTTCATTAATCTGATTGGTCGAGGAAGGTTCATGGAACTGAAGAAAATGAACGGTAAGAGACAGGGATTTCAGAGGATGCGTTTCAAAAGCCAAAAAAACTGACATTTCATCAGGCTTAAAATCTGGATCAAATGAAAATTATTAATTATTATTATTCAGCCTTTGTGCGTTAAGAATTATTTTAATATTAATTCTACTTTTTAACCCGACTCATTTCACTTAAGCAAACAGCTTCACTGCAAAAAGTTTAACAGAAGCTTTGTAATTTATTAATCAATGTTTTTGCACCAAAAACTCTAAAATTTTCTTACAGTTAAGTGTAAGACTAGACAGGCAGCAAGGCTAATTGATTAACTCTCGAGATTATTAAAAAGCAGTGTTTAAAAGTGTAACACTAAGTTTCGGTAGCATTAGTTGTTTGAGATGTTTAAATAATGAGTCGAGAGCAAGATTTCAGTTTAAATATAAATATATTATAATAAGAAATATATAGATAAATTAAGACACATATGCACAAAAGCGCAAGTTTAGCCAAATTATTATCTATGAGCATCATAAAAACTGAAAATCGGAAATCAGTTCCGTTTTCTGATAGTATTTTAAATGAACTTCTTGTCTAATTGTCGATTGTGAAGTGATGGTGTTTCGATTAATTGTGAAAACCAAGTACAAAAATATGTCTCATAATGCAGTGATTGTTAAATGATCAGAGACAAAAACAACCTTTTAAACAACATTATCGTTTCAGTGTCCAAATTGGGGAGGAATCCTAGCCCTGAGACCATGAGAAAAATCGAGCACCATGCAAATGAGGCCACTTCTCTATACGTGAATGTCAAGGTAACTTATAAGAGAGAAAATAGCACAACAATGTCCCCTAAGATTGAACAATCTCTCCACTTTCCTTATTCAATTTATGGAGATCGATCAAATGGATAAAAGCAATCATTTTCAGCGCCTGGATGCGAATTTCCGGCTAATATTTGCCGTTGAATTGTAGATGGGTGATTATTTGGGTCTTTTCCGTTATACGGCCAAAAATATTGTGAATTGAGCGTTCGTTGGGAGGGGGGTCACCTAATGACGGAGTGACCAATGATGGAAAATTTTCTAACCATCAGAATCATTAAAGATTCTTATTGGCTTAATGTCCTTTGCGCGAAACTGAAATCATTAGTATCCGAAAATGAATTTTAACATTATCAGCAAAATTGCACCGCACAATTCATGCAGATGAACAAAAATACATTTTTTTAAAATCAGTATTCAGGAAATATTACGTTTTTCCACCGCATCATCGATCTCGCAATATTTGAAAGTTCGTGTATCTGCATACTTTCTTATCGGTCAATAATAATTTGAATGGCCTGGATTTATTCGCCTACTATGAGCTTATCGCAACTTCTTACAGATTTTTGAATATTTGATTCTGATTGGCTGAAAATAGTTTTCCAACATTGGGTCTCATCATCATGAAAATAGTTTTAACCAATCAGATTCCAGCATTACGATAAAAAGAAGTTTTGGGCTGTATAAAAGAAGATACCGGATGATTTTGTTAGTTTACAGTAATGATTTTTCTTATGCTCCATATATGTTTCAAAGTCACTTTAATTTACAAAAACAACTTTTCATGTACTTTTTTTATGCATGTTTTTGTTTATGTCACCAGTTTCCAAAAAAACTTTCTGTAATGGTTAGCCAAATATAGAGACTACCGATTGGTTTGGCTATCAGTTTTGATTCAAACCTACAAATATTCGGGGGTGATACATAACTGGCGACAATTCGTAACTGGCGGCAATTCGTAAGAAGCGAAAACTTGAAACAGCATATTAAGCTTCAAACCGTGATTCACGCGTACTATTTCTCTCGTGCCGAATGCAAGCACAGGAAAACGAAGCAAGTGATTGCTATTTGCCAATATCCTGTCACAAATTATCACTTGTTACGAGCTGCCGTTCAGCTAGGTAGAAAACCAGCTCAAGTCGAGAATTTGTGTGTGCCTATTTTCAAGCAAGATTTTGAGAAAACTCAGTGGTTTCTCACGCTCAAAATTTTGTCTCAAAATGAGTGAATGGAGAAGTTTTTGAATTGTTTGTTAGAAAAACTTCTCGATTCCAGCCCACGCTTTGTATAATTTTTCAGTGGTCCGTTTAAAAAAGAAACCACAAAAAATGGTTCAAAATTAAGAAAACATTCAAATAATCTGGTACTTTGAAAACTGCTATAAGTTTTGAAGAATCTCAAATTTTTTGTTGGTATGATTTCAAGGCTATTTGAATATTATCAATCATAATTGATGAGTTGAAAGAAAAAATAGAAAAAAAACTTAAATAACTTGCTTCAAAATATTTCCAAACAATGACAACTCACAAAATTTCATTCTTACTTATTTGAAATAAGATGAAAAGGAACGGGGACAAGCATTTCCAGATAGAATCCAAGTCAAACTCTTTTTCATAAGTTTTCAATGCATACACAGAGGCGGAGCGGAGCTTCGCACCACTCGCGATACACCACAAACAAAAAATAAAAGCAAAAAAAATGGGAAAATTGTGAAAAAACTAGGCCACATAAACTTTCATATGTCTCGACAAAAGTTAAATCTAGGAAAGCATTCCAGAAACTTAAATTCAAATCAGCAACAACGGAACAAAATTCACGAAAAAAGCAAAGCCGAAATCTTTGAGCAGGCACAAGTTGAGCCAAAAATAATATGATTTTTTAAACAAAAAGTTTGAAGTCTCTTAAACAACAATCGACCACACTTGCACTTGAAACTACAACGAAAATTTTTTTCACAAGCAAAATCCGTAGTAGCAATTTAGCTGACAAAACTTGAGCTAACAAACGAAAAACCAACATTTCATTTTTTTCCAGAATTTTTTTTTCAATTTCCTCGATACTGGAAAAAAAAACAATGTCTGGCAGGGACTCAAACCCCCGACCTTAGGGTACAAAGGTAATTGATTTAACTCCAGGCCAAGAGGGAAGCAGGCTGGAAGATCTTAAGAAAAGAAGAGAAGTGAAGAGAAGCCACAAAGTGATTAAATTGATTTTGTAAAACTAGTTGTTACTAGAAAAAAAGTCTATATTCCAGTTTGTTAACGCTTGCTAATCGCAAGCGTAACAACGAAAAAAAATTCAATTTGAGAATAATCTCGAAGTTGTTTGATTTTTTCATTGTCATTTGAAAAACGCTTGAGAAGTCTTTCACAAAAACTCCCGTTTAAAATCAATGTTTAAAAAGTTGATAATGATGAAATTAGTAAAAACGTCGTCATCTCCTTTTAATTTTTTCTTCTTATTCTTCTTCTTTTTTTTTCTACTTTTTTCTTCTTTTTCTTTTTTTCTTGGTGCTCCACTTTGTTTTTCAAACTCAGACAATAATGACAATTTCAATTCTATGTTCAGGTTGACCTGATGACTAGAAGCAATATCTTCAACTACCTGGACCTAGAAACATCTAGGATCCCCGGACTCCTGCAACAGACACTCATTGTAAGCTCACCAAATCTCTATACTCCTCAATTAGCAGCCTTTTAAGATCTTTTCCAATTTCTTCTCTAGATTTGTCTGATATCCCTTTTTGAAAAAAAAAGGATTTTAAAACATCTAATCTTCCGAAACAAAGTCTCCAGAATGTCAATACATATGTCAATTGGCAACTTCAATATTAAAATATGCGTTTTTCTCTAAAGAGGGCAGACAAAAACTCAGTAAAATGAAAAAAAAATAAACAAAAGATCCTGTTTTCTAAAAATGGCTTTTGTTCATTACGCTGTTTGCTTAAAAAAGGTTTCGTTATTTTTACAGGCGTCATCAATGGTAACAGATCATTAGTTTTGAATAAATTTTCTATTTTCAAGAAAATTTTATAAATTTCTATATTTAAGTTTGTACAACGTTTGATTTAATTTAGGTTCCCGAGGAGACAGCTTCCTTCTTTGGAAAACTTCTTTGTGACCTGCAAAATGTACTGATAAACAACCAGATTTTCAATTTCTCCGATCTCAATAGCGAACCTCCTGCAAATGTACAGAACGCTGACCCATTTTTGGGCCTTCGTAACGATAAAGCCATACAATTCCACTGGCTATGGTCCGCGATTGTATTTGCAATGGCTAAGCCTAAACCTCAAGTTGAGGAGCCAAATCTAACATCTGCTAAGTCTCATTACAGTGATGGGGCCACGTTTTCAGGATGCGCGTTAGTTTCCCTTCTGGGGCAAAATAACCGATTCAAAGCGTTTGATTTGTGTTCGTTTTTGGAGACAATCGAAACCGTTGAGCTTGCTGAAAAAGGCAAAAGTAGCGCTTTGAGAAAGTTCAACTTGAATAAAAGTGAGGCACTTTTTGACATAGAGTTTTATCTCAAAAGGGCAGAGGAACTATCAAAAATAAATCATAGCAACTTGAAGCTTATGGAGTCATGCATGAAATCCTATGGAATCAAAAGTGGGCCAATGCTACATCCGAAGTCTGTTATGACAATCATACCTGCAGAAGATTGAAGAAACTCATTTAAAAGATCAACCGATTGAAATTAAGCCAAATTGTTTGCCAATGTCGGCGACCTTGAGCAACTCAATCTGTCAAACAATGGAATTACCTACAATCTGGTTTTAATTATCTGATAAAAGAGTTAATAATCCGACAAAATTAGCTCTCAAAAGCAATCTAAGAGTTTCGAAGAAATCTAGTATATGCATATTTTTATTTCCAGGCTACCTTGAGACATAAAAACTACCTGATGCCTGCAACTTTAATTTGAAATAGACTTTCTCGTTCAAATTAACTGCTCTGTAATTTTTTTGTTGGTTAAATGACCTAAAAATTATGAGAGCTAAAAATGCGCAATTGGCTATTTGAAACAAATTTCTTGCAGATCTTGAACTTTAAAAAATGTGAAAAAATCAATTAATTGGAAAACATGGTCGATTTTAAAAATTTGATCTCAAAGTCGTCGATACTGCCAGCAATTTGACATTGAGCAGAAAAAACTTTAAATCAATTTGACAGATTTAAAATTGATATCGTGAGTACCGAAAAGTAATGAAAGGTAATCAAACAAAATACTTGTAAATTTTATCCAATAATTTCCTGATTAATAATGAAAATGTACAGTTTAGTTCTGATATTTAAAGTTGATATCGTGAGTACCAAAAAGTAATGAAAATTATTCAAACAAAAAACTTGTAAACTCAATCCAAATAATTTCCTAATTAATAATGAAAATGTACAGTTTAGTTCTGATATTCAAATTTTCGAAAGTTTTCTCATTTAAACATTTAGATTTTATTGCAAGCACAGCCTAATTATTAAAATTGAAGCAAGCTCCAACAGGGGTTAAAAAATTTTAAAAAATTTCGCGTTTTATGTAGTTTTCAGGAAAAGGAGAGCTCTGGTTATCCAAAGTTTGAAAATTATAGTAATATTTAATACTTCGAAAATAATGTTTTGAAGCCCAAACAACACTTTTTTTAGCTTTTGAAATTTGATAGTCTGAAAAAATAGCAAACAAGCTGCCTTTTTTGATCAGGCTTTCTTCCTAAAAATGTGTTTGCTTTGCAATTGTGATGATGCCACAAGGTTTTAAAATTAAATCAGGGGAGAGAATCAAATGTTCTCGAAACAAGAAGCGCAGCATATGGAAACATTTAGGTCAAAAACTGTCAGGACAAAAGTAAATTATTGTTTTAAGAAAATTATGTCTTCGTACCTGAGTTATTGACCGGCTTTCGAAGAAAGTGACGAAATGTTTATGCTTAGAGGTGGTCATTTTTTTTCAGTCAAAATTCGGACTTTCTCGAACAAATTAACTGCTCTGTAATTTTTTTGTTGGTTAAATGACCTAAAAATTATGAGAGCTAAAAATGCGCAATTGGCTATTTGAAACAAATTTCTTGCAGATCTTGAACTTTAAAAAATGTGAAAAAATCAATTAATTGGAAAACATGGTCGATTTTAAAAATTTGATCTCAAAGTCGTCGATACTGCCAGCAATTTGACATTGAGCAGAAAAAACTTTAAATCAATTTGACAGATTTAAAATTGATATCGTGAGTACCGAAAAGTAATGAAAGGTAATCAAACAAAATACTTGTAAATTTTATCCAATAATTTCCTGATTAATAATGAAAATGTACAGTTTAGTTCTGATATTTAAAGTTGATATCGTGAGTACCAAAAAGTAATGAAAATTATTCAAACAAAAAACTTGTAAACTCAATCCAAATAATTTCCTAATTAATAATGAAAATGTACAGTTTAGTTCTGATATTCAAATTTTCGAAAGTTTTCTCATTTAAACATTTAGATTTTATTGCAAGCACAGCCTAATTATTAAAATTGAAGCAAGCTCCAACAGGGGTTAAAAAATTTTAAAAAATTTCGCGTTTTATGTAGTTTTCAGGAAAAGGAGAGCTCTGGTTATCCAAAGTTTGAAAATTATAGTAATATTTAATACTTCGAAAATAATGTTTTGAAGCCCAAACAACACTTTTTTTAGCTTTTGAAATTTGATAGTCTGGAAAAATAGCAAACAAGCTGCCTTTTTTGATCAGGCTTTCTTCCTAAAAATGTGTTTGCTTTGCAATTGTGATGATGCCACAAGGTTTTAAAATTAAATCAGGGGAGAGAATCAAATGTTCTCGAAACAAGAAGCGCAGCATATGGAAACATTTAGGTCAAAAACTGTCAGGACAAAAGTAAATTATTGTTTTAAGAATATTATGTCTTCGTACCTGAGTTATTGACCGGCTTTCGAAGAAAGTGACGAAATGTTTATGCTTAGAGGTGGTCATTTTTTTTCAGTCAAAATTCGATATTCTAGCTAGGTTTTTATGGAAGTTTTTATACCATCTTAAGAATATAGTTTTCAAGAGCTCATATATAAGGAAATTTTTAAAGTAATTTTCTTCAAAAATTATTATGAAGGTTTGAAAATTGTTCATTTGGAAATTTGGAATAACTAACTCGTGATTATTGCGTTTTTTCATTCTTTTCATTTTTTGGTTATTTTATCAAACGTTTTGAAGCAAAAACTTTTTTTTATCAGCTTTAAGGGGCAGTCGTAACAACAAGGGTGTTTCCTTTAAATTCGAGCAGTCTGGTTTACATTTTCGGAACGTTTCTGCTAATAAAATTTTAGGATATCAATTGCGATAGAAAAACCAAGTCATTTTTAAAACTGTAACTTTGATATAGTGTATTTCTTTTTGTGTATTTCTCAAAAATTCATATAGAACATAGGGTTTTACTAATTTTACGGAATTTTTGTTTCTTCAGACAAATTTCGACTTTTTAACTAGCCTGACGGAACGTTTATATATCATTCAAAAAGTATTGTTGACCTGAGCTTAATTCCTTAATTCTTAAAAGATATTTCACTTGCAATCAATTTTTGGAAAGTCATGAAGGTTTAAAGAGTGCCATTTTGGCCAATTTGGGACAATGAACGCGTGATTTATTTCGCGCTAATAACGCGTAAGCGAAGATTTAATCCGTCGTCGAAATCGTTCCAAATTGGTTGAAGGAAGTTTATTTGCCCTAGTTGATGTTACCAGAAGCAAAATCTATTAGTTTGTACTTAACATGGCGTGTGGGCGGATAATTTTCTCAATAAAAATCTCAAATTTAAAAATGTTAAAATGTTAGTACTGCTTCATAGACTTTAGAAGCTAGTCGGGACACTCAGGGCTTCGCCCTGATACGAGCAGTCTTGTTCTATTTTCCAAATAATCGAGCAGCTTGGGATGAGACTTGTTTGTAGGCATCCGGCTAAACCCTGAAAAATTCGACTGCCTCTTAATTACAAAAAATGGGTCATCTTTTATATTTCTTTTATGAGTCATCTTTTTAAACAATGTTGAAAAGTTTTTTTTATTTTGGATAATTTTTTCTGCAATCATTCCCTCACTCGCTCTGTTAATTACAAAGTTAAATAATTAGCGTCTAACAACGTAAGCAGCACCAAAAATTTGCCTCAAATCAAATTATGACAGTTTTTGAGCCGGATTAAGTCGAATCTCACGGATTATGAGAAGTTTTTCGCGCGATAATTGCCCAAAATTAGCCAAACTGGTAAGTTTCAAACCGCCAAAACTTTACAAAAAATTATCTCAGGTAAACTATCATTTTTTTTAAAGTTTCAGCTCAAGGAGTCAAAACATTTCAGATGGGATAAAAAAGGCTATTCAAAAGTCGTCAAAACTTGCCAAAATATTTATAAATTTATTTTTTTTAGACCTTTTTCTTGAATCACTCATAAATTTAGTTGATATTCTTGTAGCTTAACTTTCCGCTGGACAAGTTTCACTCACTATTAGGTTGATTAAACGCAAAAATCTGCATGCTATGGGCTGAGTAAATAGGCTGATTTAAGTCAAGAAAGCAAAAAATCTGAGGCAAGATTTCAATTTAGGATAAGTTAGAACAAAGTGCGGTATACAAAAAATAGGAAATACAAAATAAAACATTCATAGTTTTCATTGGCGACTGGTCTTCACCCGAAGTTCCTGGATACTAGCAGTAGTTTCCTAAAACAACAATAAGTTTTGCCTTGAAGTCCATAAAACTTTATTTAGACTACTGAGACTACAGAGTACTTTATATTCCATGAAAGTATATTTAGACTGTAGTACTTTGTATTAATCTGTTCTTACCCTCTAGTACTTTGGTGATGACGTCTTCGTACTTGACCATGCCCTTGTCGTCCTCCATACCCTTGAGGGCCAACATGACACTCTCCTCGTCACACTTCTCCCCCAACTTCATCAACACCTGCTTGATCATCACCATCTCCACCAGTCCAGTGTTCATGTTGTCCATCACACACTACAACAATCATCCAATTCAAAATTGAAACACATTTATAAAAATATAAGCAACTATGAACAATAAAGTTATAAAACTAAAGAGATTTAATGATCTTAAATTTTTTTTATATCAGGAAACAAAATAAAGTCATAGCATTTTTCACGAATTATAGTTGACTGTTCATTTTGGCTTTCCTGCTAAACCAATTTTCATCAGTACCCCTGGTAAACTTTATTTCACAAGAAACAAATTTTGTACCAAGTCAAAACCTCTGAACTTCGTCGGTTGAAAACAAAAAAAAGTTACAGTTTCCCGTGAATATATCTTCCCGTGAATGTATCTTCCCGTGAAATTCTCGGTTGAAGCACGTTTTGCTCTCACCTTAAATCCTTCGATGAAGTCTGCTTTCTTGATTGGGTTTACGATCTTCTGTAGGTCCAGCATCATTGGCACAAACTCATCAAACTTAACAGTTTTGTTAGGGTCTTCTTTGGCGCCTGAAAAACACTGTTCAATGACTATCTTTTATGACACTTAAGCGATAAATCGTTTATTAATTTTATTATCAACTATTTTTTTTTTGATAATATTATGGTCAATCTTAAATTTTTTTGACCAGCATGATTATTAAATTACCGAGAAAACCTCAAGTGTAAATCTCCGAGTGAACCGATGATTAAAAATTTAAATAAATTGTCACAACCTGTGTAACTTGTGACTTTACAAGACCGTATGAAGAAAAATATGTTTGAAATAGCTTAAATAGTCAGCCTGACAATTTTTTTTGCAACGTTTGGACATTGTGAACTCAAATCAAATTTCGATAGGAAGATAGCATTGATTAAAATTGGCAACCTGTGATTTTGTTGGCATCGGCGATGGTGCAGTCTGTGCCCATGGCACGTGCCAGATCTCCAATCTCACTGGCCTTCAGCACCCCCTTGCCCTCCTTGTCAAACAGGGCAAATGCATCCCGCAACTCGTTCAACTTATCCTCCGGCAACTTGTCCATTGTTTTCTGTTATAATTAGTTGTCAATGATTAGAGGACAAAATTAAATTTTGTAGTTTTTTTCGGCTTTAAGAAAAAAATCTGAACGGTGAGGATAGGTTTTTTGTTTGAAAAAGTTTTTGAGATGGATTGTCATTTTTATTCCATGATTTTATTCATTGACAATTTGCCTGAACAATCTGACCGTTTCAAAAGTCTTGAATCCGGTTAAAAAACCCTTCCCTCCCTCTCCCCGGTTAAAAAAGCAAAGAGTACTGATGGCTAATGCGATGGTTTAACATTTTCAAATATTGGACCTCCTTATGAACTCCCAACCCGCTATTGTAGAAAATAAATTATTTAGTTTAGTTGAACATTTCAACTACAAATGTTCCTTATGTGTTGAACTCTAACCAAATCTTTACTAACGAGAACTCACCAAATCTGGTCTCAGAAAAGGGGAAAAACGGACGAGGTAAAAGCGAATCAAAAACACACCCAAATGAGAGTCAGCAGGAACAGAAACTGACAAACTAGGAACAACCTTCAAATATGTCTTTAACAAATCCAAGTTATAAATTATAAGCCCACCTGATTGCCTGAGTTTTTACATTTAAGCTATGACAATTTAGTTATTACAAGTTACTTAAATTCGAATCTCAACTGACCTGGTCAACTTTTCCTACTTCTCCACTCGCAATATATTACTTCAAACATTCGCCTTATCTCTTCAATTTATATTACTGGCTTTCATTCTTAAAATTGTCAGCGGGGGTTCACTGGTCTCAAAATAAATTGGCATTTCTTTGAAATTTGGATTTATTGTTTGAACCAATACTGAAACGTTCTGCTTGAGTAATATTTCAAAACAAGAAGCACCTGTGGCGGTCAACTGTCAGGGGTCCCCAGGTTCGATCCCCCCTAAGCCCCATGTGTCAGATTGCTATCAGCTGTTGTTGTTATTAACAAAGCCTGTCCACAAAGAATTATTGCAGTTTGCGTTATGCAACTTTTCTGGTTTCAGTTTCAAAATATGAAAATAGTTCAAATGAAGCGCCAGCTTCAACGCAAGTTACCTGATAAAATTTTCGAACCATAATAGTAACAGTAACAATATAAGTATGATATGATACTTGAGTCCCTAAGAAAGCGAAAAAACGAAAGATAGATCAGGCGATTCTGGTGAAATCTTCAGCAAACATTTTTACAATATTCTTAGACAATTGGCCTTAAGTTTAGACAAAATAGCAGTTGCAGACAAGGCGAATTTAGGATTGTCACGATGGGCGGATTTAAACGTTTCGCAAATTTTTTTCTAGACTTTTCCATATAAATTCAGATTTCTTCTTGAGCAATGAAGACCAGCGCCAGATCTAGGTTTTTCACAAAGGACAGATCTAAAAATTAAGCAAAATTGTTCTGGACTTTTCTAAATGAACTCAGATCTCTTTTCAAGAAATTAGGACCAGGGGTGGACCTAGAATTTTCACGAAGAGTGGATCTAAAATTTTTTTAGGCTTTTCCAAATGAAATCAGGTCTTTTCTTGAACACTTAAGACCAGCAACGGATCTAGGATTTTCCTGAAGGGGGATGACTCTTTTCTTCTCGAAAATTTTGATGGTCTTCTTTCAAAGTCGACCGATTTGATTTTCCGATCTCTCTTTTAAAACTATAAGACCAGAGTAATAAAGACCCTATTTTGACAAAATCTTTGAAAAAACCGGCCCAAAAAGTTGTGTTTTTGGCAGTTTTTGGAAGGCATCAAACAATTTAGGCGCACGCGTCCCCTCAAAGTTAGTATATATAGCAGGGGCGGATCTGGGGTTTTCACTTCAATGTGAAAGTATATTATGTATTTCAATATGAACAAGACTGCTCGTATCAGGGCGAAGTCCTGAATGCTCCGACTGCCTTTTAAGGTTTATAGAGAAGTAGTAACATAAAAAAATAAATGTTTTAAAACAAAATGAAAAAAAATTCTAATATTTGAAACTTTTTCATGAAAGCATCCCCCCACACGCCATATAAAGTATCCAAGAATAGATTTTGCTCATTGTAACAAATCAATTATGGCAAATAAGCTTCCTTCAACTAATTTGGAACGATTTCTAAGACCAATTAAATCTCCGCTTACGCGTTAATAGCGCGAAATATAGCGCGCGTTAATTGTCCCAAATTGGCCCAAATGGAAATATTTAAACCCCCATAACTTTATGAAAAATGATCGAAGGTGAAATATCTTTTCAAATTTATGCTCAGGACAACAATACTTATGATATAAAAAAAATCCGTCAAAAATGGCTAGTTAAAAAGTCAAAATTTGTCTGAAGAAAAAAACCCACGCCGAGCAAAAATATTCCGTTACTTTCGTATCAAAAGTTGGAACAATAACTTTGTTGCTATTGGAAAAAAAGTTTTATTTTGTCCTAGAAAGGCGTAAGAGCCAAATTGAAGCACTCCAATTATCTCTAGGCAAGGAATATAGGCTTATATTTTGTTACTAGACGTAAGCTAAACAGGACTGCTCGTACATCATTGCAAAGTCCCGACTGCACTCAAGGCCATTTGAAAAGTTTTTTTTTTGGTTGACTAATTGACGAAATAATTGAGAGAAAAAAAGAAGAAAATTTGTTTTTATTTATTTTTTCGTTTTATTCCACCACAAGCTATGTAAATACTAAGGGTGTGTTTAGCGTCTCGTATTGTGCCAATAGGATTAAATTGCTGGCCTCAAATCAATTTGCAATGCATAAACGCTTCTTACGCGTGTTATAAGCAAGCAATATGTCGCACTTCAATTATCCCAATTTCGCCAAATTAGCAGTTTTCAAACGCCCATAAATGTAAAAAAAACAATAACAGGTGAAATATTTTTCTAAATTTCAGCTTAGGATAAGAATATATCTCAGATGCTATAAAAAACTCTGTCAAAAACTTTTTGTTAACAAGTCGAAAATTGACAGAATAAAAAACTTCACGAAGCATAGATATTCCGCACTTTCTTCAAAATTCGGAGCAAAAAAGAGGAGAAAGTGTGCATAGAATTTTTCCAGATTTATATGAAATATTTTAAATAGCAAAACTTGGATCACATAGGATAACAATCTCTCAGATGCTATGAAACATTCCGTCAAAAACGCTTTGATAACAAGTCGAAAATTGACTGAATAAAAAATTTCACGAAGCATAGATATTCCGCGCTTTCTTCAAAAGTCGGAGCAAAAAAGAGGAGAAACTATGCAGAGAAATTTTCCAGAATTATATGAAATATTTTAAATAGCAAAAATCGGACCAAAAATTTTAACCTCATAGATGGGTCATTTCAAGCTCCTTATAGTCGATCAATTTTTACGCTAGAACTACTGGGTCAATTGTTGAACAGAATATTTATTGAAATACACTTCCTATGTTTCCCAATTGAAATTTGGAAGGATTTGAACATCAAATAATTGCACAACATTTCGTAACTTTGCTTTTGAAAAAAACTTTGATATTTTGATTAGTAAAAATTATATTTTTTGTCTATCATCCAAAAATATTTTTGGCTTATACAAAATTAAGGCTGAAAATACTTCGTAACACTTTGTTGGATGACATTGTTATTGTTCCGACTTTCGATACAAAAGTAACGGAATATTTGTGCTCGGGGTGGGTTGTTTTTCTTCAGACAAAATTCGACTTTTTAACTAGCCATTTTTGACGGAATTTTTTTTATATCATTCAAAAAGTATTGTTGTCTTGAGCTCAAATTTGAAAATATGTTTAACCTGTGATCATTTTTCGTAAAGTTATGAGGTTTAAAGATTGCCATTTTGACCAATTTGGGACAATTAATGCGCGATATATTTCGCGCTATTAACGCTTAAGCGGAGAGTTAATCCGTCCTAAAATCGTTCCAAATTGGTTGAAAGAAGCTGAATTGTCATAATTTGTTTGTTACAAGGAGCGAAATCTATCCTTTTGTACTTTATATGGCGTGTGGCGGGATGACTTTCATAAAAAATTTCAAATTTTAGAATTTTTTTTTTTATTTTATTTTATTACATTTAATTTTTTAATGTTAATACTGCTTCATAAAACTTTAAAAGGCAGTCGGAACATTCAGGGCTTCGCCCTGATAAAAGCAGTCTTGTTTTTATTATCCTCCGCATGCAACGGCAAGTAAAAATGATAATTTTGGCTTCTAATGCCATAAACTTATTGCAGATAAAAATATGTGTTAGGAAACGAACAAAAGACACATTTGTGTTTCATATCCTATTAAAAATCCTCAAAACTGTTATTTAAATCATCGAAATAGTTTAGAAGAAACAGTTACCCCCAGCGTACATCATCTATTACTTTCTTCGAAAATCAGAACCAACTAAATTCATCCCCCTAAACGGCAGAGGAGTAATTATCAGAGTCTTGTAAGTTATTCCATGCGCACTAAAGAAAAATATGCCTCTATGACAGATAAATTTTATAACTTCGAAGTTACTATTTTTAACAAAATGATGTTTTTTAACTCAAAGCTCATGATAAAATGAACAGCCTGCAAAACGAATTGTTAAGGAGTGAAATTAGCCACAAACAAATAACATCTCAATGTTAAATGTTCATAAACAGTGAAAAAACATCTGTGCTGTTTTCTGGATTTTGACGATGCGGTTCATTAAGCGTATCAAATATTTTCGATATTGAAAACTCAATTCCAAAACTTTTACATTTTTGCTATAATCGCTGCATTGAACTGTTTTTAAATTAATTTTAACAAAAAGCAAAGTTCAAAATGATTAAAATACCAGAGGCAACGATTTTATTTTTGGTAAGAACAGTTGATTTCACTCTTAACGATAAAAACCATTCAGATATTCACATAAACAAACTTCCAGAAACACAAAGAAGTTGGACAGCAGTATTCTAGGAGGCATCGATCCAAAAACTTGTGATCTGGGTATGCAATGAAAACTCAAAAAGCTGATAGTCTAACTAAAATCATCGTAGATCCACAAAACGCTCGCGTATTTTATGGTTCTAACATGGATTACGGAACTTCAAATATAAGATTTTTAGTTTTTTTTTCGAGATTCGGTATGCTTTTAGATCACCCTCTTGTCTTCAGTTGAGTGCAATGATGTTGCAAGTGCTACTGGTAGATTGAAAGATATCTTCAAATTGGACTTACAACTAGTCAGAAATCTAGACGTTCTTTCCGTCCAACTAGAAGGACTGCAGAATCGAATCACACAACTGAGAAGTCATAAAATTGAGCCCTTGTCTGAAACACTAGGAATGCGGGCTTTTAAGTTTCCTATTAACACACTAAAAATTCAATCCTAATATGATGTCGTTTAATCACAACTATTCCCAGAAAAACTTAGTTTGTCTTATTTACACCAAAATTAAGGGCACGTAATTCAAGCTTTTGAGAAAATTTCGTAGCTCCAAAAATTTCGGTACTTTGTGAAACTCGTTCAAATTTATTTACCAATGATGTGAAACTTAATAGCAATTCAGGAATTGACACTAATAACGAGGAGGTTTTCAAACACCCAACAAACCAGCTAGCAATCATCAAGCGGTTCCAAGACAAATGGAAAACCATAAATGAAACCCTGGATTTCCAACATGTCCAAATGACTGTAAAATATTTTATGGATGAGTTTTCGAAGCAGGAAGCAATGTCACGTGACGCAATAGCTGGAGTTATACGCCTGGGCGAGACATACAATATTCCAGCTAAAAACTTCACCGACGGAACCATAGGAAAATTTCAGTCAAAACTGAAGTTCAATAAGCTTCAAGACATACATGCTATCGGTAAGCTATTTTTATAACATCATAAATTGAATTTTTTTCGACCTGAGTATTTTTATAATAAATATCATATCAAGTTCATCGTAGATTATTTATCTTTCATCCGGAAAAGTTACTATTCTGACCTTCCGCTAGCTCTCGCAAAGAATTATGGCGCAGGGTAAGTGTTTGCTTTTTCAGTCAAACCAGAAACCTTGAATAACACTCATACGGCACCGAGTGTGTTATAATGTTACAGCCGTTTCAGTCGTGATTCGGACACCAGAAAAAAATTAAGGCAAGCTTTTTCAAAGCTGAGAAAAACGGCTGTAATTTCAGACATTTTTACAATATGGCACTAATATATAATGCACTGATATTCTGTTCTTTTTCGGATCTTGTATTATTGATAACTTATCTTGCAGCTGATTACCAATTCGATTATATTTCTTACCTGTTAGGGCAACAAAAAGTTTTTTTTTTTAATTTTTTTTGCCAAAATTACTGTGATCTGAACAGTTTGGGCGAATTGCATTGCAGCCGGTTTCTCTTGTTTGATCATGTAAAAAGCACTATTTTGTACAGGGGCGGATTTATATCGGAATTCGAACCCCTGCCAACCCAAAGGGTCCCCCCTTGGTACTTTTTAAGAAATCCATTTTTGGCCGACCGACCCTAAAATTTTTCTAAAGGCGCCTTTGGCGCCAATATATACTAATTTTGAGGGGGAGCGCGCGCCAAAAAAACGCGTTTTTTTGTCAAAACTTTCCAAAAAGTGCCCAAAAACGGATTTTTTGACCTGTTTTTTCAATAAAATGCCTGCGGCGCAGAAAATTTGGCCAAAACAAGGTCTTTTTACTGCTTTGGGAGAGCTCGGAAAATCAATCTGATCGACCTAAAAACTTTTAAAAAAAATGTCGTCAAAATTTTCGAAAATTTTTTAAAAATCCGCCCCCCCCTCGAGAAAATCTTAAATCCGCCCCTGATTTTGTAGAATATTTTTATATTCAACTTGCAATTGAGTTTTCTCTTGATTGCGATAAGAAGCCATTTTTAGGTCTTGCTGCACTCAAATTGGATAAAGTGTCAGCTTGTATTGAGTACTTTGAACTTCTGGAGCAAACGATTTTGGCTCGAAAAAAAGCTTTCGGTTCAACAAACGCCTGCGCTGATGGTTCCAAATGTCAAACTGATTTAGAGCTCAATACCATACTGGGAAGCGCGTACGCCAATCATCATTACTGCGAGTACTTTTCTGAAAACTACGAAAAATCTATTTTGTTGGCCAAAAAAGCGTTACAGCTAACGGGACCGAATGAAAGGATTCAGAAAAATATCAACTTAATGACGATTTATAGACAAAATCTATCTGAAAACGAGCATCAGAATCTTTCAAACGCAATGAAATCAAGCATTGAAGAAAAACCTCAAACAATTTTATGCCGATCCGGTGCTTTTCCTGGATCCTCCAATAAAGCTGGCAGCGAGCTGATTTCCAGAACCAAGGGTTTTAAAATCTGGGAAAAGTGCAAATATTCGAATAACTGGAACCCTTCGCTGATGATTCAGCCTGTTAAAACCGAGGTGCTGCTGGAAGAGCCTTACATGGAGTTCTGGCATCAGTTTCTCACTGATGAAGAGATCGAAAGACTCAAAGAACTGGGACTACCTGAACTGGAAAAGTTAGTTACACCGTGAAATTTTCCTTCACCTTTCCAGAAACAGTTCATACCCTCACAATCCCCATATGTATGAACGTTATTGAAACCAAAAAAAACCAGAAGCTCGTTAATTGGATGAAAATCGAGTAACAAAATTCATACCAATTGGATTATTTACAGTATTTCTGCCGCCGATTCATTTCGGTGACCCTTTTTGGTATCCATTATGTTGTTGATATAATGTTTCCTCGTTTGTGCGATAGGTCGGGTGTCGCAGGCGATGACTACTATCAGTTCGTCGACAGTCGTGTGAGTCAATCCGGCTGGCTGCCAGACTCACGAGACCCAGTCGTCGCCGCAACTTCCCTCAGGATGCACCAGATGACCAACTTATCCATGGAAACCGCTGAGCAATTACAAATTGCAAATTACGGAGTGGGGGGACTATACAATCAACATTACGATTTCTTGACCGATCCCTCCAAGCATCCGAAGGAGTTTTTTCAATTATATCACCGAGTCGCCACTGTGCTGATGTATCTCTCGGATGTCGAACTCGGAGGCACGACAGCTTTTATCAAAGCAGGTGTCAATGTCAAACCGGAAAAAGGCGGGGCTGTGTTTTGGTACAACTTAAGAAGGGACGGGTCTGGAGATATGGATACTCTACATGCAGCTTGTCCGGTGCTGGTGGGAGTTAAATGGGTCGCGAATAAATGGATTAAATACGCCGGACAGGAGTTCGTCTATCCATGCTTAGCGTGACGAGTGAACAATTAGGAATGCAATTTTCGGTAGATAAAATGATTTCAACTCTATCAAGGTTTCCTGGTTTTGGCAAAAAAATGTATGTTTTTAAAAACCCGTAGTGACAAAAATGGTTCCGGATCAATTTAAATTCATTCAGATTGATTAACAATGAACATTTTAGGAACTTAAATGGATTTTAAATCGATTTTGATTGATCTTTCTTGAAAACTTTGGATCAATTTAAGTGTCTAAAAAATCGATTTAAATCAATTTGGACGGATTTTCCGACTCACAAAAATCCATCTAAATGTCTACAAAGTCTAGTTTAAATCAATTTGAATCGGTTTTTCTGCTAACACGCTACAAAAAGGCAATTAAAAAAAATAATTGAAAAATTTTATTCTCGATTTTTTAACTAAATATACACGGGCCAGATGTTATAGAATTGAAGAAACTGGTTCGCAAAAATCAGATTTTGAGCTCGAAAAAATATACATTGAACTCATAGTAAATCATTTGTAATTCAGATATTGGGCAAAAACGTATGTAACAAATCAAGAAAATGGTCGCTACAAATTAACTTTTTGAGATCAAAAAATGCAACAAAATTATAGAAAATTGTCATTAATAATCAGGTTTCCGCAAAAACCTAAGTAACAAATCAAGAAAAGAGTTACAATAAATCAAACTTTAAGCTCAAAATGTACAGAAAACCATAAATTGCTATCGATTTTTAAAAATATATATTTAGTTTTGTTAATATGCTACCATACGCTATGGATGTAAAATAAAAAATGATTTTCAATGAGGTAATGCAACGCAAACTTGAAAGTAATGAAATTCGAAAAAAAATCAGCTCAAATCGATTTAAATCCGTATTACTCCCCCTAAAATTAGAAACAATTTAGGACTTAACAAATGGAGTTAAATCGATTTATAATCAATTTGGATCGATTTTTTAGCTGGGATTTAATATCAATTTAAGACAATTTAAAACTGATCTAAATCAATCTTAATCTTCTGTTTAATTTTCGTACTTTCGAATTTAAGCCGTTACAAAAAGAATTTCCGTGGTCACAAATTCTACAGGTTCAAATCATCAGGAAATATCAGTGTCTTTGGTGTCGTTAAAAGTTAAATAAGTGCAAGATATCGAGATTTTCAGCCTTCAACCAAATCCCAAAAACCACTAAATTAGTGGAAAGAGTCAGCTATCAAAATTATTTCTGATCAAACTTTCGCCTGATTCTTTCCCAAAGATCTTATTCTCAGATTCGTCTTTCTTTTCATTTATTTACCATACACAATCAAGTCGTACTTTCGGCTAATAAGTTAAATTTTTTTGATAATTTGATTTGATTACAGATGGAAATCTTTCATAAAAGAACGGATATGTAAGTTCGATTTACAATTCTAACTACATTTGAAAATATAGAGACGCTTTGATTTTAATAAAACGTCAAAATTTATGTTATCAGATGAGTAAAAGTTAGAGCTAAAATGGGATACTTTGCAGTATTTATAGTTCATTTTTAATCTGCGCGTCAACTGGCCTGATTTGCGATTATGATTTATCGTATGCTTGGATTGCCGTGGTTCTTCTCTTTCCTGGGTTAGCAACTCGTCCTAAGCAAAAAAAATTGTAAGCAAAACAGTTGAAAAGATTCAACGGACTCAAGAAAAAAGAAAAAAATGCTGACTTTTTTGAAATCTCAGCGGTGGCGTGTTACGGAGCCGATACCCTGATAGCCGAAAAATGAATTCGTTCCCGGATAGCCAAACTGTTTTCGTTCCCGGATAGCCAAACTGTTTTCGTTCCCGGATAGCCAAACTGTTTTCGTTCCCGGATAGCCAAACTGTTTTCGTTCCCGGATAGCCGGTATTTTTTTCCCGGATAGCCGAAATCTTTTTTTTTCAATTCGCTTAAAGCCAAAAATTGCCTCAGAAAAGGATTGCCTCAGAAAAAAAACGTAAATTCCATCGAATTTTTTAAGGGGAAGGGATTGCCTCAGAAAAATTGAAAATTCTTTCGACTTTTTCATAAGATCAACAACATTTGAGCTATCCCGCAAATTGTTTAAATTTTATTTTTAACAGAAAATTTCTGTCACACGCAGAGGCAAAAATTGGCAATTAATTGAGGTTTAAAAACCTTTTTTGGCAGTTACTACCCGCGTCCCTTCCAAGACACTTATTTAACATCGCTCTTATTTAGTGAATGGTCGAAAAAAATCCCGGATAGTCGAAAAAACATTTATTATCGGAACGTCGAAACAAATTTTGTTCCCGGATATCCGAAAAAATTTTTTTTGCGTATCAGATTAGTTGCACTTTTATTGCTATCTAATTTCATGAAAGCCAAGCAATTACACAAAGAAATCCTTTTTACTCTATTGGTTTTCTGTTAGCTTAGTTACAGAAAAAAAAAATAGTTTAGTCGTTCGAATAAAATCGTCCGACGAACTGTACTTAAAAAATCATGAGTCAAACCGCGAAACAGTAAAACTGAGGCTGAACTATTTTCCTAAAAGAAACAAATAAAGCTTTTTCAAAAAGAAACAAAGAAAAAATATCATTATGACATATATATGAGTCTCCGCTACGTTCATCAACTCTTTGAAAAACAAATAGTGTTCTTCCCGTCTTGGAAACAAACTTTTTAGATTTCACAGAGGCGAAGCGAAGCTTCGCATCATTTGCGATACAACGCAAGCTAGTGAACAGAGACGGAAACAACTTTTAAAAATGTCGAACACAGAAAAAGCCATAAAAACTGTCAAAAAAACTATGAGCAATTCAATCAGTGATATGTCAACTACGCCGACAAAACATAAGCAGACAAGCAATAGGCCGACAATGCAATTTTTCAGGAAAAAAATCGAATTCTTCTATACTGCAAACCGGGACTCGAATCCAAGACCATAGGACGTCAAGGTAACTGCATTTCCTCTACATTAAGTAGGAAGGATACTGGAAGTTATAGAGGTTCACTAATACAGCAATTTCAATTTCAGACAACTGTGTAAGAAAAATTGTTTACGGGAAAAAAGTTTAGTTCCCGATTACAAGACACTTGATCTCGCAAAAGTAACTAAGAAAACTAAAGCTAGTATGATCGTAAACGGACCAATATAGGAGAGGAATACTGGAAGCATAATGAGTCCGTGGGCTGCTCCGAACAGCACGATGCCTAGGTACATCCGGAAGTAGTAGATCTGGAACAGCTGCGAACTGGCAAATGCCAGCACAATTATTCCACAGAACTTGGTCAGAGTGATACCACTGAGAACCTAAACAGACATAGTTTGGCATTAAGTAGAATTATTTTTATTTAGTTCCTTGAAAAAATGAGCACGGAAGATGGTGCCATGTTAAAATACAATACTAATTTGATACGCATGATGCTTTCGTGATTCATGGCCATAATTTTTAACGTTCTTTCTGCTTTTTTATACTTTAGAGACCATCTTATTTCAGAGACCTAAATATCATTTATCCTGAACTTGCGTGCCTATATCTTTGATTCAACTGGCTCGCAAAAGTTGGTTGTTGTGATCAAGCTATTCAAGTAATAAAAATTCATGTTGATCCATATCGTGAATCGGTTGGTAAAAATTTCCGTGGCAAGCTATTCATTCAAGCTACGCAACTTTGAAGTGATTCATAAGTATTTAAGCTTGAACATTTTTGCAAAAGTTATCTGTGCAGATATTTATTTTTCTGAGCAGGCCAATCAAGGCCTGAACTCTTGGAATACCTCGAAATATTTCATAATGAACTGATTCGCTAATTTTTAGTTATTCCATACCGTGTACTGATTGGCAAAAAATTTTTAAGCACTCCATTCAAACAATAGAACTTTGGAAAATCAATGTTATTTTTCAAATAGATTCACAAAAAGACAATTTTTCTCAGCAAACCATTCAAGCTTTGAATCTTGTGATATCTGTCAAGCTGTTTCATAGAGCGCGGACAATCATGCGAGGCCAATCAGTTAAAAAAACATTCAAGCAAAGATTTTCTCAGCAAGGAATTCCGGTGAGGCTATTTGGAAACTTTTTGAAATTCATCCGTTCATGAATCGTTTAGAAAAATGTGTTTTTTTTTGGAAAAAGAACAAAAAAACATCATGACCTATCTAAGAGTCTGAACTACGTTGATCGACTCTTAATAAGTTGAGCATGAAAACATGATTTCAATATTTGCTAGTAAACATCCATCTATCAAGTTAATTAGTCCAGCATCAATATCTAGAAGAGTCATGAAACATGAGAATAACTCACTGAGCTGCCTGTTTCAATCAGAGATTCAGTCGCTTTCTCCAGCCGAGTATCTTTGTCGCACAGAATGAAGGCACGCACGATATGCGAACAGAACTCCACCGCAATGCCCACTGCCTGAAATATTCATTTTGATCACTTGATCACATCTGATCATTGATCATTTTGATCACATGTCAATAGTAGTTGCGATCAAACCGACATAACAGATAACAGACCAGATAACAGGACATTAACACAATAAGATATTAAAATGACAATATGAATTAGCATGACAAATTATCGATGTTCATGACATTTAAAAAAAAATTCTAGTAACCGAAATGTGTATAGCAGGAGCATACAAAGTTTTGAAGAATAATGAATGAGCCGAAAGTCCCGTTTTGAGTACTTTTTATGTTTTGAAGTCAGACTTGTATTTTTTGGGCGCCTGCTCCTTTCAGACTTAACAGTGGCTCCCAAGATTAAACAAAATGATCTTGATTTTACACCAATCATTTTTTTGTTCGAATTCAAAACTTACCATGACGAGATTAACAAGTGAGACTGCATTTAGCCAAATATTCCAGAAGTACATGAGTCCAAACATGGACAGAATAACTCCAGCCACCCCCATTATTACATACAGCCCAGCTAGGAGGTCTATGCCCATGAAGAGGACTGAGACGAGGAATACTGCCGCAATGCAGATACTCAGACTCGTTATTGTGTCACTCTGTACTGTGAGGTACTGCTCATAGTACACGTAGAAGATTCTAGAACAAGAATATCGAATTTGAAATCATCAGTCAAAAACTAGAAAACTTGGATAGCAGCAAATAGCTATCCAAATTTATCCGGACTCTAAAACACATATACAGAACGTGTTTGTACAAAACAGTCCAATACCAAACAATCCTGTACACAATAGTCGAGCAATCATAGCAAAGTACAAAAAAAAAGTCTCATTGATCGAAGTGATAGTTGTTCCAGTAACTGATCAGAAAATTCGCCTCGGATGAAAAACATTTTGGTTCCAACTAATCTGGATGACAATAGGTAGTATGGCAGATAAACTAGAACAACCTAGATAACAGCAGCGGCCACTCATTAAAAGCAATAATACGCGAAACATAAAAATTAACGCAATTTAAAAAATGAGCTTTTTTAATCCATGCAAAATGAGACAGGTTGTTCAAGTTGTTTTATTTGCGAACACTTGGCAACAATCAATTGAAACGAAATTCAATAAGTATCAAAGGAAACTATACTGACTAACAAAAACTCTGAGTTACTGATTTTTGAAGGGTATGCTTATATTAAGCACTGAACACTTTCAAACAATTCCCGTTCCTGGCGCTGCGCACAAAGTATTTGCAAGAGACATGTGCGTACAAAAGAAGACTCCGTTGAGATCGTTAAGGATCACTGCCACTTTTTCGATCCGGCTGACATCGAATAACTTAAGTTCAGAAAAACACTTTCAGATCGAGCAGCGTTTCTGATGCAACACCACGGCAGACTATTTTCGCAGCTCAAGTGAAACGAGAAACAGCCGTTCAATTACCAAGTTATTATGCTAAGCAGCAAGCTGTAAATAGAAATCGACGCGAAAAAAGACCACAGATGGCAGAGCCAACTTCGCTGACTGGCTTTGAATTACCACTGGCCCTACAGAAAACTCATGATGGAGAGCAGTTCCTTTTGAACGATTCTGATCCCCAAGATAAAAATCGGGTTATTGTGTTTGCCACGTTATTTGGGTTAGACCTACTATCTTTATCAGATGAATGGTTCTGCGATGGAACGTTTTCGACTGGTCCAATGTATTCTATCAAAGTTATACAATACACGCTTCAGTTGAATGGATGCCTTATTCCTCTTGTTAACGCTGTGCTACCCGACAAAAAGGAATCAACTTTTTGTCGCCTCTTCAGTGTTCAAAAAGTTGAGTCCCCAAAACGCGTTATAATTGATTTTGAAGAAGCTGTGATAAACTCAAAAATAGCTACCCATCAGAGCGCTAAAATTTAGTTTTTTTTTTCATCTGGCTCAAAGCCTCTGGCGACATGTTCAGTCGTCAGGCAACACTCATCATAACAACAATTACCTTAATTTTCGCGAGCTTTCTCGAATGCTTTTCGCAACAGCATTTCTGCCCGTAGAGGACGTCCCCGCTGCGTTCGAGCTTCTTCAAGGTATGGCATCTGAAGAAAGTCAACCGATATTCATCTATTTCGAGGACATATATTGGTACGCTGACTTCTGAAGGACGACAGAAGCCTAGATTTGACACACAGCAATGGAGTTGCCATCAAAGAGTACAAAACAACCTTCCCCCGCACCAAAACTAGTCAACAGTAAGCACCCTTCATTTCCAAAACTCATCGAGAATTTCAAGGACGAATAAAAAATGCGGAATTTCTGTTAAAAAAATGTGCACAGAACAATAATTAACCAGACCCAAAAAAAAGTTTATACCAAAAACTCGACGAAAACATAATCACTATAACTTTTCGTGCCGTCGGGGATTCGATCCTTCGAACGTTTCATCCACTATACCTTTGATTTTGATCTGATGTACTGTTCGATATTTGGTTCTTTGATCTTTAATAACGCTTAATTAATTCTGTCGGCGCCAAAAGATAAGGTAAAAAATTCGAATGGTTTTAGACTGTTTTGTATGGGACTCTTTTTTTTTAGATGTTTCGGACTCTTTTGCACTGAAAAGGGCTGTTTGCGAGAAAACTGATCACGCTAAAAATGTAGATTTCCTTAAAAAGTACCAAATAACTAATCCTTTTCTCTATGAACTGCTGCAATGCCTATTAATGAATACCTCCCTCCTATAACCACATGGCCAAAGTGCAATAAAAAATAAGCACCAAAAACACGGCCCTTTTCCAGCTAAAAAACCCGAGTGTTTCTTTAAATCGAGACTAACGAGTACGGAAACACAGTGACTCCAAGTGTGTCCGAGATGTTATCTGCTATCTTGATGGCTTGCTGCAGTGCCTTCGTGTAGTCCTGTGAGGTCTTACACACCGAATGGTAGGCCATGAAGTAAGTAGCGCCCACTTTGGTTCTGTTCACTTGTGGACTGTAGTCAACTGCATACTTGTAAGCTGCGTGGCCTCTATATACAAAAACATAGCCAACACATTGTTGCAAAAAAGTCAATGAAGGCAAGAAAACCTGACTTGTTTTTTTTTGAATTGCAAAACAAAAATTGCAAAATTGACTTTCGAATTGCAAAACAAAAAATTGATGGCCTTAAAGCCCTTTGGGATTCAAGAACAATTTATCATCGACACTTGTGCCAAAATTAACTGAATTTGAAAAAGACTGGATCGATAGCTAATTTTATTTCGCTGGGAAATCTGAAAACTAAATTCCACTTTTAAAAATAGAATTCGATCACGTTTTCCGTGACCTTTACACTTTCGCTGTTCGATAGTGGAGTTTGCGGTCCTTTTAACAAAGAAAATGAACTGAACTTAAAACGAAATCATAAGAAGCCGCGAAAAAGTAAATTTAAGATGTTTAACCCTTTCCTGCAAAAAAAAAACAAATCATCGCGACCTATATAAGAGCCTGAACTACATTCATAGACTCTTAAAAAAAGACGCTAATTTTATTGTGCTCACTGACGTTATTTAACACGTAAATGAGACTTAACAACTTCGTTCTTGGAATTTCAGAAAAGCTTTCATCTCGGAAAATTTCTTGTAATAATGAAAATACTTTTTGATTATAGTTATTTAGCTCAGGTTAACTTATGTTATAGTAGTACTTTGAAGGTAAAACAAACTCAAATCTTTTAGTTCCTAAATCGTCAAAATGGTTCTATCCAAAAAATGACTTCTTGATGACTACATATATCAAGGCTCCATTTGAAGCACCTAACTTACCCTTTGGAGCACTTGTCAGTCGGATTATCATTCAAGTACCACTCCAGGAATTCGTAGAACTCAGTCGGAGTTGGCCTCGGGTTCTCGTCACTTTCAGGTCGGCAACTCTGACAATTGTCACTAACAACTGAAGAATTACAGAACTCAATGTCCAGATCGAGATAAGTATCCTCTTGTAGCATTTCAGTTGATTCTGTGGAATCTATGCTGTTGTTGAAGAATCGACAGCAAGTCGGAGTCCCAACTGGTTTGGACCAGATGAAGTAGTCGTCCAGCCATGAGTTGGCAGGTGTCGCTATCATGGTGCTTGAAACGCAATATTTCAATTTAATCTTCTAAATGCCACTGATTCTATCGAAATCAACACAGCCACTTTGGCCTTTGTATCACGCAAACCAAATTTGAGATGCTACACTTTTTGAACTCGAAAATGAATTATTACTCTGCACTACTCGTTTGTCGGGACCCCCCAACAACAAAATACTTCTTCATAGATTCGGGACCCCTCAGCAACAAAAGTCTTCTTCGTTGACCCCACACCCGCTAGAATTTTTACCACTCCAAATCGGGCGTGGTCTGAATGAACCCCGGCGGAAATTTTATAACAAAAAATTTGGATCCAGTCTTCGAAAAAAATGCCATTTTTAAGAGCTCCAAATCAAAAATACTTTTTTTTTCACATGAAATGTGCAACTGACGGTACACCCGTATCTGCATTCTTAAATCCTAAATCAACAAAATTGCCGTTTGCTGTGCAAGTAGCAGAGAAATTTTTACGCCATTTTCTTAAAAAACTACAAAAACAGCGTGTTCTATTTCTTTTTCTTTGCGTGGTGCGATGAAAAGATATTGCAAAACAGTTTTTTTTAGATATTGCAATTTAAAAAAAATCAGATTTTTGTCGTTTTTTAATTCCTATGATGGCGCTTAAAAACTCATTTTACGAGACTTTTCAAGGACTGAGTAAAATAAATTCATGCCTAGTCAACTAATAATCTGCGACTATCCTTCTATACCCACCCAAATACAAAGCTCCTCCCCGTTTTGAATCGTGAGAAAAAGGAAGAGAAAAAGTCGAAAAATGGGCATATCATCCAAACTTTAAGCTTCTGAGGTTTCATATTTGATCAAGTGAAAAGCAGCCCAATACAACTTCAAGCGAAGAGTGCTCGTGCGCTTATAAGAAAGAGGAAAAAAGCTGTCTCTAGTAGTAACCTGTATGGTATACTGCTACTATTTGAAGTTTTGTTGAAATTGCCCCGCACTTTTACTTGTTGCTATTTGTTTGTTAGCAGTTTGAAGGCATTAAAAAACAGATAGCAACAAGTAAAAGTGTGGGGTAGTTTTATCAAAACTTCAAATAGCAGCGGTATGCACAGGTTACTACTAGAGCTAGCTTTAGTTTGGATAATATGCCCTCTCCAATTTTTTTATTTACCTTTTTGTTCCGAAGACTGAAAACGGGGAGGAACTTTGTATTCGAATGGGTATAGAAGAATAGTCGGAGATTAGTAGTAAGCGAGCCATGAATTTTTGAAACTCAGCCCCGGAATTAAAAAACGACAAAAAATCTGATTTTTTATTGTCATTTTTCGAAAAAACTGTTATCCAATATTCCTATTTTACGATGAATATTGGAAATGCCTAAAATCTAGTTTTTCGTGCAGATCTTTTCATTACTCCACGCAAAAAAAAAAGAAATAGAAAACTTTGTTTTTGTAGTTTCTTACGAATATGGTCGAACATTCTGTGCTATCCGGCCATCCTTGTTGATTTAGGATTTAGTGCAGATACTGGTGTACCGTCAGTTGCACATTTCAGCAAAAAAAAAATTATACAGCAAAATCTGAAAGACAGCAAACGAAAGGTAACATTCCTTTTATAACAATCCCTCCTTTCCACAATTTGCAAATAAAATGAGCAAACTGGATCAATAGGTAAAATTTTTATTCCGCCGGGAAATCTGAAATTACAATCCAGATTCGAAATTAGAAGTTAATCACATTTTTCTTGAAATTTACACTGTTTCTTTTCGATAGTGGAGTTCGCCTTCCTTTCAACAGAGGAAAGAAGTTAAAAAGAAACCGAAAGTCGAACGCGAAAAACCAAATTTGAGGCTGAGCAAATCTTTAGACTTTTTCTGGAATTAAAAAACAATCATGACCACCTACATAAGAGTCTTCAGTACGTTCAGCGACTCTGAATAACTCAACAAGGGTAGAAGTTAGAGAAAGCTTTCAGCAGCTTGGATGATTATGCACTAACTTGTAGATAAAGAATCTCAACTTACTGTTCTGGTGAGCTGGAAGCGATGGATAAGCTCTCAGCAGCTTGAATGATTATGCACTAACTTGTAGATAAACAATCTCAACTTACTGTTCTGGTGAGCTGGAAGCGATGGATATCTGTCCTAGTAGTGATTCGCTACTGCATCCACTGCTACTACAGACTCCATTCTGCACATCGAACTTAGAGTAGTCGATGCTATCTTGCACCACAAAGTATACTGGAGATCCCACCATTAAGTCATTGGCCACAGCATTAAAATAGTCCAGCATGTAGGAGCCCTGAACAAAAAGCAAATTTTGGTCCACTCATTGTCTGTGCTTGTTCTTTGCAACGGATCGGAACCTTTCCCAGCTCAGAAACCATTTGAAAACATCTTTTTTCGAAGACGAAAAAAAAGTACTCAATCGGGTATCAATAAAAACAACGTCTTAACTTAATTGGTTCACCGCCGATATTGTTTACGGAAAAATCATGTTGCAAGATAACAGTAACTTTGCAAGCATAAAAACTGTTATGTCAAGCAGTTAGAGTCAAGGATTGTCTGATACTTGAGCTGATTAACGGAGACTCAAGATATGATTGCATTGCCTGAAATTTTGAGAAACACAAACTTAATAGTGAATTGGTGCTTTATCATCAATAAATTCTGTCTAACCGAAGGCATTGACACTTCCTGGTCCAATCCTATTTCCACTCGGGGCACAAGACACCCACACAAAATCCACCATCCGACAAACACAACGACCACAAATGGCCTCACATACTCATTCATGAGAATGGGCGCGTAGATCTCCTTCACAGCAGAATACACAATACCATTGTCCACGCTTTCTTTCTTTGTACCACTTCCATGAGTATTTGAGTCATCTGTTTCGTCCTCTTGGGGACTGTAGGAGACTGTCTTCCGTTGCACGCAACAAAGTACGTCAAATCTCGAGTCCTTAAACGAGAAAACTTGAACATAATAGTATCAAATCAAAAAATAAACCTACATTTAACGCTTATTGCATCAATTCATTATTCTTGTATATGATACATCGTTCAAAAAGTAAACTTCGACACATTTTCCATAGCAGAATACTTAGAAAGAAAAACGAAAATTTTAGTGCTAGCAATCAAGAATTTGACCATGAACATTTTGCTACATTCACAAACAAGCTGATGGTTCAAAAGAACATTTACAATTTTTAGATCTTTTTACATTAAGCTTGCCGTAGAACTGTCACCAAAACCTGTCAACATCAAAATCTAATATAAGAAGTCAAATTTTGTGGGTCAAAAGAGCGGTCGACCCAGATCACTTTGGAAGTCACGCGATCTGAATACCACTCACAATACGTGACTCACAAAACTCAAACCGACTCAAAATAAGCGTAAAAACTACAAAACAAAAACAAAAACAAACGACTCAATACTTAACTACAAATATAAATTTTACTATGAAAGTGTCTTCGACTGCTTCTCTACTGACATGTGTAATTTATCTGTTATATTTTGAGACTCAGTTATGCGATGGTGGGGGAGAATTCACAGCCAGGTCTTGTTTTGCTCAATTTTTCAATAACATGGCCATCCATTTTGACAAAGAAGACGAGACTGATTTTCAGGACAAGTAAGCCAGGTTTTTCTTGCATTTAATTCAGTTGTTTTAAGTTGCATTAATTACTGAATAATTCCAAAATTATAGCCCACTCCTGAAATATTGTCACTAATAGATCTAGAGAAGTTACTTTTTGTAAAAACTATCAATCTCGGAGCTTTTTGAATTGTCAAATAGCAATGGGGATGCATCATGACAGCTGATTTAACAAAATCGATAAGGCCAAATGTACCATATAATTACAAAAGGTTTTATTATTGTAAATGTTTTCAAGGGAGCACGCAGACAACGAGACCCACTGTGCTGAATTGTGCTGTGGAGGGTATCGCAAACTTAACAAGGAAGACACCATCCCTCAAATACACAGCAGCAACAACAACAAAAACAACGACAACATTAAAGACAACAAGACTAGGAAGGTGCGTCTGGAGGACTATTACTGTGATGCTGTCATGTACTCGCCCTCTCTCGGACACCTCAACTGCATTCTACTCATGTGTCAGACTAGAAACTGCACCCTACAGTTCCAATTGGTAAGAAAAACAATTATACTCGCCAGAGTGATTCTTTGGCTCAGAGAATCTTTTCCTGCCGATAAACCCTAAGTGCATCTAGAAAATACCATGACCGACAGGGTGAAATTTCGAATCTTTTTCCAACTCGTCCTGCCTACAAATTTTCAACTGTTAATGTGGAACTTATGCCCAATTGAGCCCTTTTCCAGCCCCCCTCCACCAATCCCCGAATCTATTTTAAACCAACCCCAATATACTCGTAAAATGACGAATAATTTTTTGAAAAACTGTTCATACGGCAATTCGCATATGAGAAATGTTGTAAAAACCGGTTCTCTTGTTCATGCTGGCACGTTTTATCTCACCCTAGAGCATCAAAATTCATTTTAAACAGGCTTTCTCAAATCGAATTTCAGAATAATGTCGAAGAGTACTCAAAAAGAGCCCCCTGTTGATATGAAATTGGCATTCTGACTAAAAAGGACATTCCACAAATGTTTCGTTCTCATGCTTTACCTTGTATATGCACTCGTTCCGCCATAAAACTAATGCTTCTGTGAGAAAGGCCGTCTCTACAACGTGTTATTTTTTTAAAACCATTTGGCATGGCAGCAGCAGCATGACAAGCCAAGCCCAAATGACACCACCAACAAAAATTCATTTTCAATAAAGTTCATATTTATTTAGCAAATATGCCAAATAAATTTAGTTAAAACCAATTTGAGATACAAATCGAGAGAAGCCAATTTCAACTTGGACTCTACCATATTTTAATAATACGTCCTGCATTTCTAACAAGGGACAGTGGTCTAGTGGTATGATTCTCGCTTAGGGTGCGAGAGGTCCCGGGTTCAATTCCCGGCTGTCCCCAGATTTGTCTTTTTCTGTACGACTCAGTACACAATTCTGAAAACAATCAAATCGGCTTGCAACAAATATTTCAAGTATTTTGGAATCATAAAAACGACAATTCGCAGCAAAATATAACTCGCAGAAATAAGTTAGAATAATTATTTGAATAAAACAAGGATAGCCGGTTACTGTGCAAGTAGCACAGAACGTTCCGACCATAGTCTTATATAATACAACAAAATTTTTAAAAAAATATTGTCGTTTTTTTTGGCGTGAGGTAATAAAAGGAGCTGAACAACAAACTGGGGATTAGGCATATTCGACAGCCATACTAAAACAAGCAAATTGAAAAGAAATTTTTTCGAAGTTTTTTGAAATTAAAAAAAAAATGATTCCAAAAAGGCTCAAAAATACTCAAAGTTAACTAACCGCATCCAGTTTCCAGCGTTACGATTTTAGTACCAGTCTTTTTAAAATTGAGAAAAATCGATTTTTATCAATTAATAATCTATTGTAATCTCTCTTTTTAAAATCAAATTATAATTAATTGTAAACCATTATAATCGATTATAATAGATTATTTATTCGTCTATTTTTCTTTACAATTATAATTGATTATAATCCATTATTTTAATTCAAATTTCTAATTCATTAGTTCTGCGTAAAAAATACATTAAAATCGATTATAATTAATTATAATCCCTTTTGTTTATCCATTTTGTCTTCGAAATTGCACCTAAATTGCTTATATTTTACGCTTTTTGTAGACGTTGGTTCCTATGAAAAATGAGAAAAATGTTTTAAAAGTTTTCCAATCAATTCGCATTTATAAGTTTTTTTTCTTTTCCTCCCCATTAGAGCTGTTTTATGATAATATTTTAAGCTTTTTTAACCACCAAAACATCAGCAAAATGATTTAGTTACATGATTGATTCGGAAGATTTATTTTTCGTCTACCGCGGGAACCTTTCCACTAAAATGAAAGGATCTCTATGAAACTTTTGTTTTGTGGTTAAATTTTGTGTTCAGATGAACCAAAGGGTTCAAGAGATCTCTTTTTTAGAGATTTTCTTATTGACACAAAAATAATAACTCGTAAGATATAATTCGAATACAGTTTTGAATTGACAAAATTTTGGCAAAATAAGAAATTGTAATCAATTATAATCGATTTTTGTAAAAACTATAATTAATCAATTATAATCGATTATAAGACATTATAATCTCTTGGGAAATATCACGATTATAATCACTTATAATTCCTTTAAACACCTAACTTTGGTAATTAAAATCAATTATAATTGCCAGAAAATCATCATAATAATCCGTTATAATCGATTACTTACGCCTAAACTTGGATGCGGGTAACATTACCTAAGTAAAATTAATTTTTAACGTTTTAAGTCATGCTATTATAAGCTTTTAAGCAATTAACCAATTAATATAAAACTGCTCGCTCGCTTTATTTGCTCGATTCTTTTGAAAATTTTAAATGTGGTTCGATCACGACTGTAAGGGCTTCAATATGATATATCACTCAGCCCAAACCAATGTTTAATTGTGGCAAAGGATTTTGCTTGGAAAACAAAAAGAAAAAACTAAGACTCACACGAATACGAAAATCCTCCCCATTTTCAATGGTCGGAACAACAATCTAAATTAACACCAAGCACTGATTCAAGCGCATTATATGCGTGTCGAATGTAAATAATATTGCGATTTTCAAACATTGCGAGTTGTCGCCGCTTTTGTTAAGTTTTGCTAGTTATCTGTTTTTGCCGCCATACCTTCAAAAATAATCATTACAAAATACAAGCGACCAAGGAAATGATTTGAAGTTAGCAATTTGCTGGCAATGTGAAAAATATCTGAATGGTGATACTTTACCCAGAGTATAGTTGGTAGCTTTTCCCTATACTACAGCTGTTAAAATGGATGACACGATTGCAACTTAGGCAGTTCAATGTTCAAGTTCGAAAGCATAAGAAATTTTCAGAATAAAACAATATAATCTGACATACTGAGCTAGTTAATGAAAAAATTTCAACACAATTGATTCATATATTGGAAACAACAGTAACGCAACTAGAGAAATTAAAAACAAAAAAGAAAGAAATTCAGGAAAAAGCAAAATAAATTGATAACTACTATAGTAGTGTTTGCCCGGAAATAGTGATGCAACTACTTTCTGCGAAAATCAAAAGGTTGCAAAAATTTAGAAAAACAAATACGAAAAGCTCATTTTTAGAACTAATTAAAACTACGCACTAATTGTAAGCCACGGAAGAAAATAACATAGCTAATATAGCTGGAAAAGATTCACTGAACGCAAGTAAATAGATCGCCTTAAAGCTCTTTGAATTTCCAGAACAATTTATGGTTGACGCTTTTGATAAAGTTAACCAACTTTGAGAAAACTGGATCAATAATTAAATTTGATATTTCGCTGGAAAATCTGAAAAATAAATTCCACTTTGAACCAGTCAATCAACACAGATGCGAAATGGAGCTTCGCAGCACTTGCGATACAACACAATCATTAAAAAAACTTAAGTAGCAAAAAAAATGTTGGACAAAACTAGGTGAACCAAAATTTTCACATGTCTCGATGAAGGACACCTAGGACCAAGCTAAAGTTGGAGGTACGTATTTATTATTTTTTTGAATTTCTTATACTGATGCGGTATAAAATGTCTAATTTCAAATATTGGACTTTGGCCAAACCCTTATCTATTTCTCTATTAAAATTAGAGTGAAAATTTTTGAGATTTTGGAATTTTCCTGGAGACATAATTTTTCTCTTAAAAACAATTCAAGAGTAGCCAATTCATTAAAAAAAATCGCGCATCCGCTTCTTTAGATTGAAATTTTCATCTCTGATTTGATAGTGTAGTTTTTAAAATTTTGAATACTCCTTGAGTCATATGGGCGTAGCCGCTTGTGGAGGGGGAGAATTTAAAATTCATTCTTTCTCTTGAAACCAAAATCTCAGATTTGGTATGTTAGTTTTTGAGAAAATGAAAAACAATTAAAAAAAACTTCAAATATCCCCACCTACAGACTTTTTCGAAGTCTGCAGACATTGACAAAAAAAGCAAAGAGACCAGGAGAGTATACAGGCTCACAAGAATGCATGCGGCCTTTCTATGCATACCCTTTTCTTGATAATCGGTAGAAGGGTTTTTCAGAAGAAAAAAAACTATTTTTTTTGCAAAAAGTAAAAAAAATTTCAAAGGCGTCTCAAAAAATTACAAAAGAACCAAATCCCATAGACTTTCGTAAAACATGTTTTCATCAAACAGGAATTCTAGGCACACTAGGCAGAGTCACAAGCGGAAGCAAGACCGAAAATCTTTGAGCAGACACCAAGACGAGCCGAAAAAAAATAATTTTCTAAAAAAAAACTTTTAAAAGTTTCAAGACCCCCAGTAGAAACTAGTATCCACCCACCAGTTAAATTTGAATTTTTATGAAATTGAGCACGTCAGCATAGCAGCATCATAAGTGATGGCAGCATCAAGTGATTCAACAGATTTTGCTAAACTAGTTGTTAGCCCGAAAAAAGTCTACATTCCAATTTGATAACGCTTGCTAAACGCAAGCGTAAAAAACATTATTGGAATTCAAAGAGCTTCCAGGTCTCCTTGGAATTATTGAAACATTTTCAACTGTCTGTTATGTTCTAGCTCTAAAACTATCGCAAAACTCTAACATGGAGGTAAAATTGCGACATATTTCACACAGAGGCGAAGCGGAGCTTCGCACAACTTGCGATACCACACACACATATATAGCATTGCAAGCTATCAGACAGAAAATGAAACAAAATCCACTAAGTCGAAAAACAAAAAAAAAACATTTTGCAAAAATCATAACAACAAAATTTTCAAGAAATTTGTCTAATATGATGTTCAATTTTAAAACACAATAACTGGCGTTTAATAAGTATTCAGACACAAAAATTGATCGGCAACTAAGCCGGCAAAAGTTGGTAAGACTCCCGTTGAGCAAAACTATAAATTTTTACGCGCCCCTACTCCGGAAACACAAAAAATCATAAAAATCTACTTTACCTTTAAAACAACGCTTAACTAGGTGAGTTAATCGATAATACACAAGCAAAAACAATTGAAGCCAAACAAACCGGCAAAAAAACGAAAATTACCTTAGTATAATTAAAATTACAGTAACAAATCAAAACTCTTTCAGTTACAAAAAAAATTACTTACAGCCCAAAAGGCAAAAGGCAACCCGGCCATATAAACTCAGGCAAACAACAGGTCGACATTTTTTCGTACACAGAGACGAAGTTGCACTTCGTATACAAAATGACCGACAAGGCTACTGGGAAAAACTGAATGAGTGAAACTTCGAGTCTACAAAATTTCTTAAGTGACGCACGCCAATTATGAGTCTACATAATTGCTAAGTGACGCTAGCCAATTATGACGCATTAGCAGTACCGGTCAATTTGAAAAAAAAAATTACGAACCAACATGCCTCAATTTATAGAGCGGACGCATTATAACTGGTATACGAAAAAGTTCATTAATAACATCCGACCCTGCCCAGGTTTGAACCCTCTTATTTTGTGGTGGGTCTCCTTACCTACCTCTACGCTACACATCCATGATACCTCGAAGCTAAAGTGCTATTTATAATATGATCGTCTGTGTTAATATCCTTAGCATTGGCTGTACTTAATAGCTGGATCAAAATGAACACTTTCAAAATGAACCTATTTTGTCGCAACAATTGCATCGCAACAATATTTGCGACTTCGGCTGGAAAAAAGAGAAATCATACTATAACAAAGGACCTTTACCGCCTCAGGCATAGTAATTTTCTCAAAAACCATGTGTGCCTGAAAAGCTAATAAAGCTTGATTTTGATGTAAGCCAAGCTATCATATGTTTTTCTGTAAATATTTTTTAAAACAAGAAAACTCCATGATGCCACAACTAAGCCAATAAAACATAATCAGACTAACGATAGTCGGAAAATTTTTTTGAAACGGAATATTTTGTCTGCAAAAACTTAAGACATTATTTCTTAAAAAAATTGTCAGTAGTAACAGTAGACCGGTGAACTTAAACTTGCACGTGTGCGAGTGAACGAAGTCTAATGGTTCAAGTGATTTTGTTAAACAAGTTGTTAACCCGAAAAAAAGTATATTTTCCAGTATGATAACGCTTGCTTAGCTCAAGCGTAATAATGTACGAAACAAGAAAGTATGACAAAGTACGCTCCTTTCAGCCATTCTCAACCCATTAAGATACTTAAAACCCCATTTGACCGAGAAACTGGAACGCTTTAATAAAATTCAAAAGAATTAACTTTCAATTATGTTAAGAGTACCGCACATTCCAGCCATCCAACACACTTATGAATTATGATATAAAAGCTCATTTGTCAAACTCAAACCAGGCAAATGAATCGCTTGTAAAGAAAAACGGTAATCGTTTTCGAATTTTTGCAATCGATTTGATTAAGGCAATTAAAACTTTATGTACTGAAAGTACTTTATGTTGAAGCTAAGCCGGGAAAAAACAATTGAAGGGATAACTTTTTTATTTCTTACTTCTCGAGCTCATAAGGGCGTTATCTGATGAGACTTGCCGGCAGGCCAAAAATCATTGCTCAATTATGCCTCAGCAAGGAGACCCATCCAATGTTGAAAAGAACTCGGACAGATAGTTTTCATCTAGAAAACAGAACCAAATGCAGAGCATTTTCAATTTGAAAAAAGGTTCTGGCTAGATTCGCACACAGGACCCATATCATCTCACCAATTGACGCTGCATCTGCGCTAATTGTGAAGAATAAAATGCAGCACTTGAACTTATTTTTTGAATCAAGCGTTATAAAAAGGTGAAAATCTGAAAATTAAAATCCACTTTCGAAATTAGTAGTTGATCATGTGTTTCGTGATCTTTACACTTTTGCTCTTCGATAGTTGAATTTGCCTTTCTTTAACAAAGAAATGAACTAAACCTAGAAAGAAATCAAGCCGAACCGCGGAAATCAAATTTGAGTGTGAACAAATTTTAAGGCATTTTCCTGCAAAAAAAAAACATCACGACCTATGAGAGTCTTCAATACGCTCATCGACTCAAAAACACAATGTCGGCTACGAATTGCCAATCCAATTTAAAAGTATAATACAATTTACTAATTTTTACAGGAGCAAAACATGACCGCTATTGTTTTGAGCAAGCAGAGAAAAGACACTTTTGACTCCAACGGAAAGCGGGTGTTTCCTTCCAACCACGTGTTCACAGCAGCTTTAGTCGTCATTCTGATCACATTCATCGTCTTCGTTTTATGTCTTGCCATATTCGGACACAGGACTAGCCAGAGACACAGCATGAGAGGGGGACATGATCGATTGAGAGGACTGAACGGGGGTAGACAACAGGTCCCCGTGTCAGCATCGCCATGTGAGTAGTGATTACATTTTAAGTACAAGAAAGAACTGACTAATGATTAAAATTCAAAATCGAGAAGAGCCTCAGCCCTGAATAACCGGGTTGATTTCAATGCACAAAAATGCTTCATCATTCATTTCCATGCAAGAAAATAAGCTTATCAAACAATTCCATTCAGAGACTTCATGGAAAAAATGCTAATCAAACCACTTAATAAAAATGCTTTGACCATTTTTTCCATGAATGCAAAATTTTCTTCTCGCTAAATCACTTCTATGCTCAAAAAATATATATTTCACGAATAAAAAGTATCGTAATTATAGTATAAATATACATAAATTGTGTAACTGGTTGTCGACTCAAAAACACAATCCGGGGAGGGAGGGGGAGGGTTTGCATCGATTTTTTAAAAAATCGTTAGGTTCATCGGATTCTTTTTCAGCTCGATCACATTGACATTCCCATGTATTAATTTAGGAACCTATTTCTGTATAATATATGCATTTGGAAAAAACTGTTCATTATTTTTTTGTGAGATTACATTTGAATGTCTTATGAAAAAAAAAAATTAGATAAATGGCGCAAAATCATTAAAATAACTTTTTAAAAAACTTTCGCTTTAGTTTTTTTCAACTTTACGAATAATTGAATAGCCTTCTGGTTATCGTGGATCGGAAAAGGTCAGCTTAACAAATGAAACCATATTGAAACTGATCTCAGAATAAAAGAGTAAAATAAATGGCGCATCATTAATACGATTTTTCAAAATATTTTGCATTGGTTTTCTCAAAGTTTAGAATAATTTAATTGAATAATTTTCTGATAGCTGATCATCGTGGCTCGGCAAAAGTCAGCTTAAACAACAGAAATGAAAATGTATATCGTCGACCGAGTGACTTAATATTTTGAATGCTTGTTCTAGCTTCGAGAAGTGGAAGCAAGAACTCGAGACAGAATTATGCCTCAATTAACTTGCAGCCACACATGACAGTGGACAAGGAGAAAGTACTCATTTGAAAGAGCATAAGAAAGCAATAAACGACTTAGATCATAGCCACAACATGACAACTAAACCCTAAATGAAACCAGAACCACGATACACTGCACTTAAAAAAAAACAGATTTCTGAAGAACTTAACTATTAACTTTACAGGCCGAATGGTTAGAATGAGTCAGCAAGCTCAGCTTAAATGCTTAAAATACTCAAATAAGAAAAAGTTGTCATAAAATTCAGAGGCAGACCTGGGATTGTCTTGCGGGGGGGGGGGGTAGGGGGAGGGTTTGCATTGATTTTTTAAAAAAAAGTTAGGTTCATCGGATTCTTTTTAACTCGATCACATTGACATTCCCCTTAGCCATGTATTAATTTAGGAACCCCTTTCTGTATAATGTATGCATTTGGAAAAAACTGTTCATAATTTTTTGTGAGATTGCATTTGAATGCTGTTAATTATCTAAACTAATCTACCTTCAATCAATTTTCTCTCAAAAAACTTAGTTTATATAATTCTAGACTACACTCAAAGTTATTTCCTAAAAATTCCATATTTTCTCCCCTCTAACACGATTTCTTGCGAGTTATTGTACGGCTGATCCGAGATCCGAATTTTGCAAAGTTTGCTGCGCACCAGGTAAGATTACAAAAAAAAACGTTTTTTTTTTCGGTGCAAGATTCTCTCTCAAATGTTGTTATAGTGGAGCTTTGATATATATGTTTTGTATACGCTACTTGAATAGTCCAATCTATTCCCAAGTCGAAGTTACATTGTTGAACAAAGTCCAACCTATTTCCAAAACGTATAACGTATTACAGTGAGCGTATGCGAACTGCATATTACAGAGAGCGTAAGCAAAAACAGATATTGATCAAGTATGCTCCAATATAAACGAGGCTGCTTGTATCAGGGCCAAGCCTTGAATGTTTCGACTGCCTTATAATTTCTATGAAGAATCAAACCATATTAAGTCCAAAGTGATAGAATTCGCTTCTAGTCACATCGCAATTATGGCAAAAAGCCTGCTTCAATCAATTTGCAACAATTTCTAAGACGGATTATATCTCCGCTTACGCGCTAATAGCACAAAACATATCGCGCGTTCATTGTCCCAAATTGGCCGAAATGGCAATCTTTAAACCCCCATAACTTTACAAAAAGATCACAAGTGGAAAGTTACTGTAAGGTCAAGTGGAAAGTTACTGTAAGGTCAAAACTATCTCCAAGAAAAAATTGAAAATTGTATTTCAAACTACGTTTCTTTTGCATATTACAGTGAACGTATGCAAAAACAGATACGTTGATAAAGTATGCCCCAATATAAATCACTTGTTCCAGTTACTCTAAGATCAAAAATATCTCCAAGAAAAAATTGGAAATTGTATTTTCAACTACGTTTCTTTTGCTTTTACAGTGAACGTATGCAAAAACAGATACGTTGATAAAGTATGCCCCAATATAAATCACTTGTTCCAGTTACTGTAAGGTCAAAACTATCTCCAAGAAAAAATTGCAAATTGTATTTTCAACTACGTTTCTTTTGCATATTAAAGTGAACATATGCAAAAACAGATACGTTGATAAAGTATGCCCCAATATAAATCACTTGTTCCAGTTACTGTAAGGTCAAAACTATCTCCAAGAAAAAATTGGAAATTGTATTTTCAAGTACGTTTCTTTTGCATATTAGAGTGAACGTATGCAAAACAGATACGTTGATAAAGTATGCCCCAATATAAATCACTTGTTCCAGTTACTGTAAGGTCAAAACTATCTCCAAGAAAAAATTGGAAATTGTATTTTCAACTAAGTTTCTTTTGCATATTACAGTGAACGTATGCAAAAACAGATACGTTGATAAAGTATGCCCCAATATAAATCACTTGTTCCAGTTACTGTAAGGTCAAAACTATCTCCAAGAAAAAATTGGAAATTGTATTTTCAACTACGTTTCTTTTGCATATTACAGTGAACGTATGCAAAAACAGATACGTTGATAAAGTATGCCCCAATATAAATCACTTGTTCCAGTTACTGTAAGGTCAAAACTATCTCCAAGAAAAAATTGGAAATTGTATTTTCAACTACGTTTCTTTTGCATATTACAGTGAACGTATGCAAAAACAGATACGTTGATAAAGTATGCCCCAATATAAATCACTTGTTCCAGTTACTGTAAGGTCAAAAGTATCTCCAAGAAAAAATTGGAAATTGTATTTTCAACTACGTTTCTTTTGCATATTACAGTGAACGTATGCAAAAACAGATACGTTGATAAAGTATGCCCCAATATAAATCACTTGTTCCAGTTACTGTAAGGTCAAAACTATCTCCAAGACAAAATTGGAAATTGTATTTTCAACTACGTTTCTTTTGCATATTACAGTGAACGTATGCAAAAACAGATACGTTGATAAAGTATGCCCCAATATAAATCACTTGTTCCAGTTACTGTAAGGTCAAAACTATCTCCAACAAAAAATTGCAAATTGTATTTTCAACTACGTTTCTTTTGCATATTACAGTGAACGTATGCAAAAACAGATACGTTGATAAAGTATGCCCCAATATAAATCACTTGTTCCAGTTACTGTAAGGTCAAAACTATCTCCAAGAAAAAATTGTAAATTGTATTTTCAACTACGTTTCTTTTGCATATTACAGTGAACGTATGCAAAAACAGATACGTTGATAAAGTATGCCCCAATATAAATCACTTGTTCCAGTTACTGTAAGGTCAAAACTATCTCCAAGAAAAAATTGGAAATTGTATTTTCAACTACGTTTCTTTTGCATATTACAGTGAACGTATGCAAAAACAGATACGTTGATAAAGTATGCCCCAATATAAATCACTTGTTCCAGTTACTGTAAGGTCAAAACTATCTCCAAGAAAAAATTGGAAATTGTATTTTCAACTACGTTTCTTTTGCATATTACAGTGAACGTATGCAAAAACAGATACGTTGATAAAGTATGCCCCAATATAAATCACTTGTTCCAGTTACTGTAAGGTCAAAACTATCTCCAAGAAAAAATTGGAAATTGTATTTTCAACTACGTTTCTTTTGCATATTACAGTGAGCGTATGCAAAAACAGATACGTTGATAAAGTATGCCCCAATATAAATCACTTGTTCCAGTTACTGTAAGGTCAAAACTATCTCCACGAAAAAATTGGAAATTGTATTTTCAACTACGTTTCTTTTGCATATTACAGTGAACGTATGCAAAAACAGATACGTTGATTAAGTATGCCCCAATATAAATCACTTGTTCCAGTTACTGTAAGGTCAAAACTATCTCCAAGAAAAAAATGGAACTTGTATTTTCAACTACGTTTCTTTTGCATTTTACAGTGAACGTATGCAAAAACAGATACGTTGATAAAGTATGCCCCAATATAAATCACTTGTTCCAGTTACTGTAAGGTCAAAACTATCTCCAAGAAAAAATTGAAAATTGTATTTTCAACTAAGTTTCTTTTGCATATTACAGTGAACGTATGCAAACACAGATACGTTGATAAAGTATGCCCCAATATAAATCACTTGTTCCAGTTACTGTAAGGTCAAAACTATCTCCAAGAAAAAAATGGAAATTGTATTTTCAACTACGTTTCTTTTGCATATTACAGTGAACGTATGCAAAAACAGATACGTTGATAAAGTATGCCCCAATATAAATCACTTGTTCCAGTTACTGTAAGGTCAAAACTATCTCCAAGAAAAAATTGGAAATTGTATTTTCAACTACGTTTCTTTTGCATATTACAGTGAACGTATGCAAAAACAGATACGTTGATAAAGTATGCCCCAACATAAATCACTTGTTCCAGTTACTGTAAGGTCAAAACTATCTCCAAGAAAAAATTGGAAATTGTATTTTCAACTACGTTTCTTTTGCATATTACAGTGAACGTATGCAAAAACAGATACGTTGATAAAGTATGCCACAATATAAATCACTTGTTCCAATTACTGTAAGGTCAAAACTATCTCCAAGAAAAAATTGGAAATTGTATTTTCTGCTACGTTTTTTTTGCATATTACAGTGAACGTATACAAAAACAGATACGTTGATAAAGTATTCTTCAATATAAATCACTTGTTCCACTTACTGTTAGGTCAAACCTACTTTCCAGAAAAATCTGGTAATAACATTTTTAACTAAGTTTCTTTTGCATATTACAGTGAACGTATTCTAAAAGAAAGATACGCTGATAAATCGATAGATATGCCTTGGTAAATCGAATGCTTTCGAAACTTCAAAGAATCATCTCACTGCGCACAAACAAACATAATGAAACATGATTACGATTATATGAAACTGGGCAAGTCTCGCCTACGGCGGAGAATACTTACAGCTTCTCTAGCTGCATCCCAGTAGTAGACTGCGAGGAATGCTGTGATCTGGAAGAGGAAGCCAAACAAGATGGCCATTCCTGCAAACAGAGAGAACGACTGCACAGCTGGCATAGGCGTTATGGCACCTAGAACAAACATCAAAAAATCTTAAGGGTTCGTTTCAAAAACCTTTTCTATCATATCCGAAATATCAAACATTCAGCGAAACTGTTAAATCTGAAACTATAGTTTAATGTAAAACATAGCAAAAATGTTGCATATGTTGAAATTACAAACAACGAAGTTCTGATTCAACAAAATTGTCAACTGAGCATGTTTTACAGTTTTTGATAGCTTTAGACATACTTTACTCGAAAAAATCGTGAAACAGCAATACATCAGCTTTGGAAAAAACAGAACTTTGAAAAGAAGGTTAACTAGCCGAGTAAGAAGGCAGTGGTCTCTGATATGCTGGAGAGGAGCATGCTGGGAGCTATTTTGCTGAAGATGCGACAGATGCTCTCCTGAGTAGTCTCTTCAGCGTCTTTTTTTACAGCTCTCTAAAGCGAAGAAACTATAAAAAAATTTATGATCAATTAATAAAAAGGATTCGAAACAAGAAAAAGTCAAGTCAATAAAAAACACATACAAGGCGCCGAAGTTTCTTCCCACCCGCACGCCATAGAGGGGTGGTTGTAGGAACGAACTACAAAGCCAACAGACACTAGGAAAAGAGTAATAACAGCAAATACTGACTCTTGTTTTTTGAAGAAAAAAAATTGAAATTTACTTATGATTGACACTTTTTTGATAAAAACGACCCAATTTTAAAAAACTGGATCAATTTTGATCTCGCTGGGAAATCTGAAAATTAAATTACCCAAGACTATGATCATGACTCTGAAAACAAATTTTTAGACTGAATAAATAAATTTTTAGAGAGTCATATACGAAAATGTTAAGTTTCGGGAGTCTGTGTTTGAACTGACCTGGTTAGCCTGGACCAGGATAAACATATTGTCCACACCAACTGCCAGAACCAAGAACGGGACCACCTCTAAGATAATCAGCGTCGCCGCCACTCTAAGGTATCCGAACAAACCGACTGCACAACCAACACTCGCTAACACGACTAGAACACCCATCAGGCCTACTGTTATTTTAGCCTCCACCCACATTTTGAAGCCATCTGTGCTGTATTTGCCCAGTGCAACGCAGATGTAAGCGAACATCAGGAAATATGAGATACCAACTGTGAGAATGTCGGCTTGACTCTCTCGATTAAGTTCATCCTGAACTGATCTTTGAGCCTGATACTTGAGATAAATTTGACTGCTCTGATAATTCTTAAGGTAGTTTAGAAACCTGAAACAAAATTAGTCGAGAAAGTTACAACGAATTATTAATTATTCCTCGAAAAATCAAAGACTTATACTTTTCTCTAAAAAGTTCATTAATTCTCATCTAATCTAATTCACAAACGAACCATCACCATCTCCTCAAATACATAAATTCGGGATATAAATTGAGGTTCACAGGTTCTTTGGTTTTGAAACAGAAGAATTTGACATACACGCAGATCTTGAGCCAATAAAAATTTTATTTATAAATAAATAAAATTCAAGTCCCCCTCTCCCCCAAAACACGCACATAAAACATTTTTCGCTTTCAATATACGCAATGTGAGGTCACTAAGCCTATTTAACCACAGAGGCAAAGCTGAGCTTCGCAAACATTCGCGAGAACACGACCAAAAACAGCTCTATCAAGTGAAATACAAAAAAAATAGAAATAAGCATCGAATTAGCAAAATATCTAGTTCTAGGATTCGATCTGCCACCTACTGCAATTAAGAGATTTTGAGCCTCACGCACTAACCACTCAGCCACGGATGCTTAAAATCCCCCCAAAAGCAGTTTGCATTTGGGGGGATTTGCATGTAATTTTGAATATAATAAACAGAAGGCATCCACGCAATTTTGCATGTAACAAATCGCAAAACATAAAGCCACATTATGTATAAATTATGCATATCAAAAAATTCAATATATTGAGTTAGAAAAAGTTGCTTGAAACAAATGGCTTTTGTCAGTTCATTTGATGAATCAAAAGGTAATGAACGCTGTTAAATGTTACTATTTGAATGTCAAAGCACATGCTATCAAAAAGCTGTAAAGATGCCCCAAAAGGCACCAACAAATACGACTTAACTTGAAAAAAAAACTAAGCAAGCGTAAACAGGCCGAAACCATTAAGCCGAAAAAAGGGCTAAATACTAAATCGAGTTGGTTAATTACAACAAACATAAAAGCAAACTTGGAACAGGACGACGGCTATTTAAAATACTTACATGCTCAAAATGTGTATGCTGCAGTATTTCTGAAAGAAGGGACCAGGAACAGCCCTATATTGTTGGTACTTGAGTGAATTAACCATTTCTAAATTTGACCATTCAGTGAACAAAGTTAATTACGGGATAAAGTCTAGTACCCGATTGCAATACCCTTGCTGATCTGACCGCAAGATTAAAAAAAACTTAAACAAAACTCTCTGATTTACTTTTTTAAAAAGATCCAAGTTGTGTTAATTTCAAGCATTCAAAAATTTGGTCTTATTAGAAAACAATTCGTTCTGCCCTCAGAGATTAAAAGACAACCATTAAGTCCAAAAAAATCGCTGATCTATTCGCAAAAAATACGTCCCGAAACACATTCAACGGCTTTAAATGAAAACTCAAAAACAATTTTTAGCGAAAAAAATTACTGCCATGAAAAACTATAACTTCGAACCTAAGATTTTTAACGTTTTGTGCGATCTGAAGGAAAACATACAAATTATTCTTCCCTGGAACGAACTGAAATTAGGCAAGTAAGCCGATAAAATATGAACCGAAACGAATTAGGCCGAAAATAATTTTTTCAGGAAAAAAAATATTTTAAAACATATTATACAAAGCCAAGGCTAGTCGCATTACAATCGGCAGCAGTAAATGAAAACATAAAAAGCAATAACAACAAAAAACCGCATACAGAAAAAAAATTCTACGATGACGCAACTAAGCCGAAAAAACATAAGCAGACAAATAATAAGCCGACAATTTTCGAATAACATTTGCCGTTGAAAAAGAAACAGGTCCTGGTCAGATTCGAACCCAGAAACTCTGCCGTCCTAGGCGTATTCGTTACCTCCAGACTAAGTGTGCCGTAGACGCCTAGAATTTTCACTTCAATTTGAACCAAAAGACCAAGTGATTCTATTCTGTTAAACAAGTCGTTTACCCGAAAAAAGTATATATTCCGATTTGATAACGCTTGCTAACTACAAGCGTAATAATTATACATACAACTAGATCTATCCAAATCTATGAAAATAATTTTGAAAAAAAGCCGCCCAGACTTGAAGAAAACTCTCCAAGAGGTCACAAAGACTTCAGAAACCCTTCAGGCCAAAAAAAAATTCAAAAACATTTGAAACTAAAAATTTGTTTAAGTCTCCTCCCTTTATAAACACAAACACACGCACACAAAACGTTTTTCGCTCATCAACATTGCAATCTGGAGACACTAAGTAGATACAAAATAGACCGAAACCTATTAAGCCCAAAAATCAAATTTCAAGATCTCGAAAAAACAAATTACAACATAGCCAACTGACAGTTGGAAAAGAGTAATGAACACAATGAAACTGAAACAAAACTGCCTTGCTTTTTATCAAAAACCTTCAAGTTTTGAATTTCGAAGAAAAAATAGATGGTCTTAAAGCTCTTTGAAGTTATAGAACAATTTATGATGGACACTTTTTTGTTAAAATTAACCCAATTTGAGAAAATTGGATCAATACGTAAAACTTTTATTTCGTTGGGAAATCTGATAAATAATTCCCATTTTCGAAATCAGAAGTTGATCACGTTTTCCATGACATTTTGCTGTTTGATAGTGGAGTTCGCCTTCCTTTTAACAATGGAAATATATTGAACTTGAAAAGAAATCACGACTCAAACCGCGAAAAATCAAAATTGAGCGTGAACAAATTTTTAAGACTTTTCCCTGAATACAAAAAAATCAGCTACACCTATATAAGAGTACTCACTACAATCATTACTCTTAGAAAGTACACTTCGACACAGAGGCCAAGTTGCACTTCGCATACACAAGCAAAAATATGACCGATAACGCTACTGGGAAAAACTGAATGAGCAAAACTTCGAGTCTACAAAAATTCTTAACTGACGCACGCCAATTATGAGTCTACATAATTGCTAAGTGACGCTAGCCAATTATGACGCATTAGCAGTACCGGTCAATTTGAAAAAAAAATTACCAACCAACATGCCTCAATTTATAGAGCGGACGCATTTTAACTGGTATACGAAAAAGATCATTAAAAACATCCGACCCTGCCCAGGTTTGAACCCTCTTATTTTGTGGTTGGTCTCCTTACCTACCTCTACGCTACACATCCATGATACCATGAAGCTAAAGTGCTATTTGTAATATGATAGTCTGTGTTAATATCCTTAGCATTGGCTGTACTTAATAGCTGGATCAAAATGAACACTTTTAAAATGAACACATTTTGTCGCAACAATATTTGCGTCGCAACAATATTTGCGATTTACTTTGGAAAAAAGAGAGTTCATACTATAACACAAGCTTTGCTTGCGCAAAAATGACGGGAATTTAAAACGCTTACATATTTAAAAATTGTCTGTTGCAGTATTTTCAAAAGAAAGGACTAGGATATGAACGAGTCCAGATTTTTTGATATTTAATATGTCTTATTTCATTACGGAACAATTAACACAGAAGCGAAGCTGTGCTTCGCAAACACTTGCGAGAACACTACCAAAAAGCAGCTATCAAGTGAAATAAGAAAAAGTAAACTAAGCCTCGCATTAGCTAAGAATCGGCTAGTTCTAGGGTCCGATCTGCGACCTACTTTCTTTTGAGGCTCAAACTAGCTTTTGAGCCTCACGCACTAGCCACTCAATTTTAATAACCGACAAACACTAATCACGAATAAAGTAGCTACATATGCTAATAAATTGCCAACGCGATTCAGCAAAAGTAGCACCAAATACAAATAGACTCAATTTTGCAAGCAATAATTTGGATTATAACCGACTGAAGGCATTCACACTAACTTTGCATGTAACAAACTGCATGTAAAGGTTTCATGATTTCTATGTTGTTTGAAATAAATCCTTTCTTTCGATTCATCTTATGAATTAAAAATGCATCAAATGTGTTAACTTATTACTATTCGAATGTCAAAGCCCAGGCTATGAAAAACCTGAAGGTGCCCCAAAAGTGGCACCAATACTTGAGACTTAGGTTGAAAAAAAAGAAGGTTCGTAATAATACACTCGCTTCGCAAGTGTAAAGAGGGAAAATGTGATTACCATTTCGCCCATTCTGTGAACAAAGTTTTATTTACGGGGAAAATTTTCAATGACTGTACAAGGAATTGGTAAAAGTCATAAAACGAAGTTTAGCACTCACTCTACTTCCCACACTTCCGCGTCGTGGTTCTTGGCCTCTTCATTGTACATATTCACTATGAAGGTCAACACAAACACATTCGCACTCACGTAGTCATTGTCTGAAAAAAAAACGTTTTGATACAGTGATGATTATCAGATACCAGTCAATTGATAATTCGAAAAGAATCAATGAACGCAAGAAATCAGAAAAACAACAGACTTATTTTTCATCATCCCTCCTCAGCATCTGAAATGCTTCAATCTAAGTGATCGTTCTCGAGGTCGGGCAGTGCTCATATTTGAGCAAGCACATTATTTATGCTTTAGCCACAATATTTTACAAAAAATCAATTGCGGGTATAACGGGAAATAACGGATCTGGCTTACTCTTATAATCTCCCAACGCAACCCAGGGATCAATAGGACCACCCCAACTGGCTAAACAACTCATATGCAGAGGCGTAGTATCGTCCGTATTCTCAGGGCCAACTACACACTTCAACAAATGATCATGGTAATCTGTCTGAAACCATGGCAACACAGTCTTGTTAAGGTTGTCGAAGCTGTTCTGGAAATATTCGAGAGGCGATGTTATGGAGCAGTTTGTGTTGTAAGGTGAAAGTGGTTTGAAGCAAATGTCGGATAGAGTTATGTTTTTGTCCTGGGTGGAGTCGTACGCACTGATTGATTGTATCTCCAACTGCATTGTAAGCACCTACAAATAATACGGATTCAAATATATCTGTTTGGCTAAAGTATTGGTATGAAAAAAGAACCGTATCTCATAAAAACGTTATTAAAAAAGATAAAGTTTTTGTTTAATTTACAAAATCTGCAGGTAACTGTACTATGGACCAATGAACAAACAGAGCCGACCGAAATTTCAATGAACAAGGAAACGGAAACTGACTTGAGATACTGAAAATTTTGAGCCAATAATGACGTATCGTGCGCCAATTAGAAGGAAAAAAAGGGAAGGTCAAATTTTTCAGAAATTCGTGTTTGTACGTTTTTTGAAAATTGATTATTTTAAGCCAAAAGAACTGTTAATGTCAAAACTTATGCAGTTAGTTGTATTTTCCTACATAATGAAAAAAAAAAAAAGTTTGGAAACCAAAGCAAGCCATTGTCCTAAGTACCATCAAGGATTGTTAGTCATAAAATATTGAAAACAAAACTTTTATTGGCTTATCAAAACATAGGCGCTACGCGCAATACACCGAAGGCATAGAAACTGAAGCAAAAACCAAACAACTTGAACAACTAATAATTGAAGAATAACAGTTCTAGAACAAAAAATCGTACTCATACATGTATACACCAAAATTTTGCTATATCGAGAAAGAGCCTGAAATAACAGTTCTAGAACTAAAAATCGTACTAACACATGTATAGGTTAAATTTTTGATATATCAACGAAGATCATAAAATAACACTTCTAGAACTAAAAATCGTACTAAGACATGAATACACCAAAATTTTACTATATTGACAAAGGGCCTGAAATAACAGTTCGTGAGCTAAAAATCGTACGAACATATGTATACACCAAAATTTTGCTATATTGGCAAAGATCATGAAATAACAGTTCGAGAGCTAAAAATCGTACTAACACATGTATACGTCAAAATTTTGCTATATTGACAAAGATCATGGAATAACAGTTCGAGAACTAAAAATGGTACTAACACATGTATACAATAAAATTTTGATATATTGACAAAGATCATGAAATAACAGTTCGAGAACTAAAAATCGTAATAACACATGTATACACTAAAATTTTGATATATTGACATAGATCATAAAATAACAGTTCGAGAACTAAAAATGGTACTAACATATGTATACGCTAAAATATTGCTATATTGACGAAGAGCCTGAAATAACAATTCTAGAGCTAAAATCGTACTAACACATGTATACACCAATATTTTGCTATATCGACAAAGAGCCTGAATAAACGTTGTAGAACTAAAAATCTTACTAACACATATGTACACCAAAATTTTGCTATATTGACAAAGAGCCTGAAATATTGACAAAGGACCTGAAATAACAATCGTAGAACTAAATGTCGTACTTACGCATTGTAGACCAATTTCTATAGCTATAATAAAATACAAAAGATTGTGTTTGTATGTGTAGCAAAACGCCTCCTGTCGTTTCAATCGGCCAATCGTATAAATTGGCATGTAGACTCATATGGGTCTCCGGAATAACTAAAAATCGTACTTACACATATACTTACAAGAAAGAGCTAAAATGAAAAAAAGCTATTAGTCTTATTATATTGAGAAATTGTGAAGCAGTCTCAGAATTGACAGTATGTAGCAGTAAAACAATCCGAAAAACAAATCCAAAAAACAAAAAAAATACTTGCAAAGACATGACACAGATCTGAAAAATGTACCATTGTTGGTATTCATGAACAAAACTTCAATCAGGTAAAGATATCAGTTAAGTATTCCACGAAATCAAGTTCAAATTCAACCTTCAAAAACCGGCAAGTAATAAAAATGACATAAAACTTCAACGTTCAGCGTCAAACTGATTACGGAACGTCAAATTTAAACGGACGCCATTCCATTTCTCAAACGATCCATCGGGTGCAGTGGATCCTCTCAAGATGCTGTGCTTCCAGTCTTTCTGGCAAGCTCCGAGCATGGTAAAAACGCTACCATGTGGCAACAAAACAGAAACTTCAGAGCGCGTGGTCCCGTTTCTTTTCATTGCAAAGCGTCGGGTGGCTCCAAGGGATACGCTGGCAATGGTTGGATAATCAGGAATACCACGTTCGTTGTCAGCGTGAAATCCAACTCCCTAAAAATACTGATAGGCAAAGTACATTTTCTATGTTATCTAATTGTTATGACGGTATTTTGTGATATTACCTCTTCGAGGGAACAATAAATGTTGATGAGGACACTGTTGAAGGAAACTTTGAGTTCTTTCTCCAACAAGGTCTTTAACAACAACAACTGTGGTGACCAAGAGTTGTTGGGCGGGTGGCGAACGCTTCCATATGAGTATGGAACCTCTGAAATCCACTTGACAGAGCGCCCGTTGACATTTGTCCAAGATTCCTGTTTGTATGATTTGTAAAGCTCTGCAAAGAGGGAATCAGCTATGCTCAAAACAGATTTATTGCAAACGTCAAGGGAAATTTGAGAGACGCCAAACACTGAAGATGAGCTGATAGTAAACGGCTGCAAAAATAAAATTAAGCCATGTAAAGCAGTCTTAAGCGCACTACTAATAGGCGGTGTGTAAACGTGATACAACGCCTTGGGTGAACTCGAGCGTAATACCAACTGTGAGAATGTCGGCTTGACTCTCTCGATTAAGTTCATCCTGAACTGATCTTTGAGCCTGATACTTGAGATAAATTTGACTGCTCTGATAATTCTTAAGGTAGTTTAGAAACCTGAAACAAAATTAGTCGAGAAAGTTACAACGAATTATTAATTATTCCTCGAAAAATCAAAGACTTATACTTTTCTCTAAAAAGTTCATTAATTCTCATCTAATCTAATTCACAAACGAACCATCACCATCTCCTCAAATACATAAATTCGGGATATAAATTGAGGTTCACAGGTTCTTTGGTTTTGAAACAGAAGAATTTGACATACACGCAGATCTTGAGCCAATAAAAATTTTATTTATAAATAAATAAAATTCAAGTCCCCCTCTCCCCCAAAACACGCACATAAAACATTTTTCGCTTTCAATATACGCAATGTGAGGTCACTAAGCCTATTTAACCACAGAGGCAAAGCTGAGCTTCGCAAACATTCGCGAGAACACGACCAAAAACAGCTCTATCAAGTGAAATACAAAAAAATAGAAATAAGCATCGAATTAGCAAAATATCTAGTTCTAGGATTCGATCTGCCACCTACTGCAATTAAGAGATTTTGAGCCTCACGCACTAACCACTCAGCCACGGATGCTTAAAATCCCCCCAAAAGCAGTTTGCATTTGGGGGGATTTGCATGTAATTTTGAATATAATAAACAGAAGGCATCCACGCAATTTTGCATTTAACAAATCGCAAAACATAAAGCCACATTATGTATAAATTATGCATATCAAAAAATTCAATATATTGAGTTAGAAAAAATTGCTTGAAACAAATGGCTTTTGTCAGTTCATTTGATGAATCAAAAGGTAACGAACGCTGTTAAATGTTACTATTTGAATGTCAAAGCACATGCTATCAAAAAGCTGTAAAGATGCCCCAAAAGGCACCAACAAATACGACTTAACTTGAAAAAAAAACTAAGCAAGCGTAAACAGGCCGAAACCATTAAGCCGAAAAAAGGGCTAAATACTAAATCGAGTTGGTTAATTACAACAAACATAAAAGCAAACTTGGAACAGGACGACGGCTATTTAAAATACTTACATGCTCAAAATGTGTATGCTGCAGTATTTCTGAAAGAAGGGACCAGGAACAGCCCTATATTGTTGGTACTTGAGTGAATTAACCATTTCTAAATTTGACCATTCAGTGAACAAAGTTAATTACGGGATAAAGTCTAGTACCCGATTGCAATACCCTTGCTGATCTGACCGCAAGATTAAAAAAAACTTAAACAAAACTCTCTGATTTACTTTTTTAAAAAGATCCAAGTTGTGTTAATTTCAAGCATTCAAAAATTTGGTCTTATTAGAAAACAATTCGTTCTGCCCTCAGAGATTAAAAGACAACCATTAAGTCCAAAAAAATCGCTGATCTATTCGCAAAAAATACGTCCAGAAACACATTCAACGGCTTTAAATGAAAACTCAAAAACAATTTTTAGCGAAAAAAATTACTGCCATGAAAAACTATAACTTCGAACCTAAGATTTTTAACGTTTTGTGCGATCTGAAGGAAAACATACAAATTATTCTTCCCTGGAACGAACTGAAATTAGGCAAGTAAGCCGATAAAATATGAACCGAAACGAATTAGGCCGAAAATAATTTTTTCAGGAAAAAAAATATTTTAAAACATATTATACAAAGCCAAGGCTAGTCGCATTACAATCGGCAGCAGTAAATGAAAACATAAAAAGCAATAACAACAAAAAAACCGCATACAGAAAAAAAATTCTACGATGACGCAACTAAGCCGAAAAAACATAAGCAGACAAATAATAAGCCGACAATTTTCGAATAACATTTGCCGTTGAAAAAGAAACAGGTCCTGGTCAGATTCGAACCCAGAAACTCTGCCGTCCTAGGCGTATTCGTTACCTCCAGACTAAGTGTGCCGTAGACGCCTAGAATTTTCACTTCAATTTGAACCAAAAGACCAAGTGATTCTATTCTGTTAAACAAGTCGTTTACCCGAAAAAAGTATATATTCCGATTTGATAACGCTTGCTAACTACAAGCGTAATAATTATACATACAACTAGATCTATCCAAATCTATGAAAATAATTTTGAAAAAAAGCCGCCCAGACTTGAAGAAAACTCTCCAAGAGGTCACAAAGACTTCAGAAACCCTTCAGGCCAAAAAAAAATTCAAAAACATTTGAAACTAAAAATTTGTTTAAGTCTCCTCCCTTTATAAACACAAACACACGCACACAAAACGTTTTTCGCTCATCAACATTGCAATCTGGAGACACTAAGTAGATACAAAATAGACCGAAACCTATTAAGCCCAAAAATCAAATTTCAAGATCTCGAAAAAACAAATTACAACATAGCCAACTGA